TGTTTTGTCAAGCCCACATAGCGTATTCTGGTTTCCGGACAAGCTTCGTTTATCCATTCTTCTTGATTCATATTTCGATCTTGTTAACTATTCTCTTAATAACCATAACTGTTTTTACGTGAGCGTATATGAGAACAATCCTTATCTTAACCATCTCATGTCTATAACTTATTTTTGTCTGATTCCAAATATTGTTCCACGCTTGATTAAATAGAGTTGGCTCCGCCCCAAGTCCTTTGGTTTCGCCTTTTTCCCTTTGTTTATTTCACTTCGTTTTTCGGATCGTTTGTCTGGACCAACAACTGTTTAATATACACGTATTTGAAATTCATTCTTATATTTGACTTATTTATTTCCATTATTCACTAACGCGATTTAAGTTTATGGATATATACGAGGATATGCGATATGTATATTTCGATAACAAGCAGTAAACGATCTAACTGGAGTTAAATACCAAGCTAGTAAAAGGTCAGTGAATGTAGTTACCAAGTGATGATATTTTAAGTCACACTGAAGGCTGATGACTGACAATTAGTACCAAAACTAAATCACTATCTTCCTGCTGATTGATTCTGATAAAATAACATAAATTACGTGATTCGATGACTTGAAAAACTGACCCCACGCTAACGTTTGCGTCATTACGATTCAAGAGGTTCTGGAAGCAGAAATATGATTGTCTACCTTCCGAACGCATGCATATCCTTTAGCAGTGATGTCTGTTACTGTAGTAAGAAAGTCTGTCAAATGAATGTGAATTCTATCGTGAAGCATAATAACGTTATCCTTAAACATAGTGACATGTGCTGCTCACAATCAATTACTCAGCTGTTGCTGAATAACGTATATCTATGCGTGATTCATAATGCTTGCTTTAAAGTTCTGAGCTGGCTATGAGATGTAAAATACGCAGAAAACGAAAGCAGTAAGTTGCAATGATTCAAATGTAGACAGAATATTGTACTCTTTTGCCATCTCAGTAATAACTCATGATAATAGACTTTACATCAAGAACTGATCTTAGTTAGACAATTAATGAAAACTAAGGAACTTCAGTATATATTTCTTCTAAGTATGAAACTTTATAGCAGTCCTCATCCATAACCCTATTCTAGATCGGACCTAGGAACTTCACGTCTTTCGGGTACCACTTAACCTTTAAACTACAAAGTCGTCATCCAATGGTTATACGTTTCTAAACTTTATGAAGTTTAACAATGTCCACAAACTCTCGACATAAACCCACAATATTCTCTGGTACTTTCTGTATGTTATTATGTTGATTAAATATAATGGAATTGCTAGGAAGTATTCAAATCTAGACACTTATCTCTAGTCAGTTGAAGACTGAGTGAATAAACATAAATGTTTTTGTTCGCTTATTTTATAACATAATTGGAGTATATGACTATGTAACTGGTTGAAACAAAATTAACCAATTGACAGTTGAATTAGGTATCTACGATGGCATTTAATGACATATAAAATGTAATTGAAATAGAAAACATGTAATAACTTGGTTTGCATTCACTTGATCATCGTGGGATATAAATGTTTTAGGTTCTGCCTCAGGATATAAAAAAAGCGTTGTCCATTGCAGTCTAACTTCATAACGTTCCTAGTTAACGTAAGTCTGTGGTGAAAACTATATTCAAATTATAATATTCTTCACAAATCTTTGGTATGTAAGTTCTTATTTGTATTTTCATTTTTATATTAACTTGAGTAATAATGTTTATATAGTTGAAATCATGAGTCAATTGAAGCTAGGCTACCCTTGGAAAACCTGGAAGAACTGGACGGCCGTTTAGTGTTCATTTAGAAACTTCTCTTACCATAAAATTTGATAAGTATTTAAGTTCGTTACTACTTATATATTTGTAAATAATATATTGTCTGTTATGATTCAACATAGAAATTAACATTCCTAATGCATTTGTATCAAGCCCATTCAATCACTGTATTATTTGTGTGCTCTCTGTAATCTTAACATATAATCTACTGTAAATTTATTTGTGAGTCTGATTGAGCGCATGTATCTTCACATCAACTTTAATCTATTCTCTCATTGGCATGCAAAGATGGATAGTGGATAGCAGTGGAATCCAGGACGCGCGTTTCGTCCTATTTGGGACTGGTAAGTTGGATGTGCCTGCATCTCAGAGTTGATGTTCACTCTGGGACTCAAACCTAGCAACTTTCGCTTCAAACACCATCACGTTATCCACTCAGCTACTGAGTCCTGATAACCACTTGCTTGTGCAATGGAGTGAAGTTGAAATTTACTTATTATCGAATGTTTGGATCTTCCCACTGATGACTGACCAGTTGCAGTCATAAAAACATCAATGGGAAGATCCAAACAAACAATACTAAGTAAATAAATAATATATTTGTAATATCCCAACAATACTATGTAAATTTATTCTCTCATTGGTTGTAAACAAAGACAATCAATAATTTATCCACAACCCATTAACACTCATAAACATATATGGATTTTTTAACACCTGTGGACACACACACATACACACTCACTTGTGTTCCCGCAGTGCTTACTATTTGTCCGCTTGGGGATTTTTACCAAACCTCAACAATAAACTATCTCTATAACTGGTGTTCAGGCTTTGGAATAATCTCGAGTAAACTGATATTTCGTCTAGGAGATTTAGCCTGCATTAAAAAATCAGTTAGCGGGATTACTTACTTACTTACTTACGCCTGTTACCCCTCGTCGAGGAGCATAGGCCGCTCACCAGCATTCTCCATCCAACTCTGTCCTGAGCCTTCCTTTCCAGTTCTTTTCAGTTACTATTCAGCCTTTTCATATCGGCTTCTATTTCCCGGCGTAGTGTGTTCTTTGGCCTTCCTCTTTTCCGCTTCCCTTCCGGATTCCAAGTTAGGGATTGAGTCGTGATGCACATTGGTGATTTCCTTAATGTATGTCCGATCCACTTCCAACGTCTTTTCCTAATTTCCTCTTCAGATGGAAGCTGGTTTGTCCTCTCCCATAAAACGCTGTTGCTGATAGTATCCGGCCAGTGGATGTTGAGTATTTTGCGTAGACAACTATTTATAAATACTTGTACCTTCCTGATGATGGCCGTAGTAGTTCTCCACGTTTCAGCTCCATACAGTAGGACTGTCTTGACGTTCGTATTGAAGATTCTCACCTTGAAATTGGTTGAGAGTTGTTTTGAGTTCCATATGTTCTTCAATTGTAGAAATGCTGCCCTTGCTTTGCCAATCCTCGCCTTTACATCTGCATCCGATCCTCCTTGTTTATCAACGATGCTCCCCAGGTACTTGAATGTTTCCACCTCTTCCAGAGTTTCGCCGTCAAGTGTGATTGGGTTGGTGTTCTCCGTGTTGCATTTGAGAATCTTGCTTTTTCCTTTGTGAATGTGGAGACCTATCGATGCGGAGGCTGCTGCTACATTTGCTGTCTTCATCTGCATTTGTTCGTGTGTATGAGAGAGGAGGGCTAGGTCATCTGCGAAGTCCAAATCATCTGATTGATTTTGAGCTGTCCATTGTATTCCGTATTTCCCTTCAGATGTCGAATTCTTCATAATCCAGTCAATCACTAGAAGGAAGAGGAATGTGGAGAGTAGCCAGCCTTGTCTGACTCCGGTCCTTACTGGAAATGCATCTGTCAGCTGTCCTCCATGCACCACATTGCACTGTAGTTCATCGTATGAGTTTTGGATAATGTTGAAAATCTTTTCAGGAACTCCATAGTGTCGAAGAAGTTTCCACAATGTTCTCCTGTCCACGCTGTCAAACGCCTTCTCGTAGTCAATAAAGTTGACGTATAGTGATGAGTTCCACTCAACTGATTGTTCAACGATGATCCGTAGTGTCGCAATCTGGTCTGTGCACGACCGATCCTTACGGAATCCAGCCTGATGATCCCTAAGTTCGGCGTCTACTGCGTCTTTCATCCGATTCAGCAGCACTCTGTTGAAAACTTTTCCTGGTACTGATAACAAACTGATACCTCTGTAGTTCTCACATTGGCTCAGATCTCCTTTCTTTGGAGTTAGCGGGATATTATTTATTTATTGGAGTCAGATATAGAGGAATTAATCCTCTACACATTCTCATTCTGGAAATTGCTAATCGGAGCAGACGTGATTAAAAGTTTCAGGTGCAATTTTGCTTTTTGAACAAGTAGTAGATCACGTTCACTTACAAAAATAATGAAATCAACTTCATATAAATCCGACATCAAATACTATGGATTAAGTACAGTTTTTATTACTATGATAATTTAAGCAATAGTATGAGTGATTAGCATATTTAAAAAGAATGCTGATAATGGTTAATATTCAATGATTCTATGTTGTGTGGATTATACTTTTATATGTATTGTATGTTCATTATTTCGATAACGTTCTTCTCTTGTTCTGAACTGGATAGTTAAATATCAAAATTATTGTTGTCATTCTAAATAACACTACTAATATCTAATTACAAAAATGTTTTCATTAGAAATCTATTTAAATAATTCACGAAAGAGGTTTTCGTAATTTAAATAGTTGACATCACGAGTCAATTAAAGCTAGACCACCATGGATTGATAGGTCCTGAGTTCGAATCTCGCAAGGCGAGATCATAGATGCACGCTGCTAAGGAGTTCCACAATAGAACAAGACGGCCGTCTAGTGCTTCCTATGCTTTCTTTGGTGGTCTAGCTTCAATTGATTCATGATCTCAACTATTCAAATTCAAGAAAGATATTAAAAACAATTGTCTATATTCACAAGCATTATAAGCAATGATGGATAGAATCCAGAACGCGCATTTCATCCTATTTGGGACTCGTCACTTGGATGTACCTGCAATGCTTATGAATTAAGGCAATATCGAGGCAATACGCACAGTATGCACATATGCCAATCAGAGACTGACCAGTTGCAGTCCTCATCATCAATGGGGAGATTCAAACAAACAATACTAAATGAATTCAATTATCTATATTATTTTCTACAATCATTATTGTTATTATTATTATTATTATTCTATTTTGTTACAAAATATTAATGTATATATAATCATATAATGAATTAACATTATTTATAGTCTATAAAATACAAATAATATTCATGATAGAATTCAAATAAAGAGATTAATTAAATGAACAATACATAAGTGATAAGATGAAGAAATTGAACGCATGCACATTTGTAAAAGGGTAAGTGAAAAGAGAACATCAGAAATGTGAAAAGGATTACCCCCCTTTTTTTCTTTTTATTTAACAACAATATAAAAAATTTATTTTAATCATATAAGTCAATCTTTAAATGGATTGAAATTCATTTCATTTTTTTAAAAAAACACAACATATATAGATAGAGTATTGCTCTCATTGAATATGAACCATTCTAATATTGAACAAAAACAATATATAAACAAAGAAATTGAATTGAATATATAATAACATATTGATAATGACCTTGTTTACAAAGTAGTGAAATGATTAAAGTATCATTTAGTTTACTATTGTAACCATGTATTACAATAAATGATGAAAGTGAAGAAAACATTACAGATTAGTTATGCCAGATTAATTTTGATTGATCAATTAAATATTGCCCCTCCCCCTCTCTTTTGTCAAATTAAGAAATGTATACAGTTTATATGAGATGGACAATAGTTTTACGTTATTTTTGTTTCCCCTTTAAATAAACCATAAAAAGAACAATTTGGTATAAAGTCAAAATTATTTTATACTTAAGATTTTTTATTGTAAACGTAAAACATGTGGTGGTAACATGGTGGTAACATGAATAAACATAAACGTCATCATTATCATTACTACTATCAAAATATATAAGTAGTTTGAGCTTGATTCAGAAAGTTTTGTGAAATAATTAATCCCTAATATTATTGATTATAGATTAATGATTATAATAAATGATACAATTAATCAATTATTTGTATTCAGTAGATAAAAACAATAGAAAAGTAATAACAAATAATAATAGTAATAGTAATAATATGTATACTATCATGTACAATGGTGTTTTCCATTATTCTTCAATTTCAATAATCCATCCATTTACCAACATACAATAAATAGGTTTATTATAATTTTATATTTTCTGAAATTAAACATTGAACAGACATGTGTTTACACTTTTGGTCATAGTGATGAAATTGAAAGAAAAGAAAAGGAATTATAAAAATTATGAATACAGTAGGATAATTTATATACTTAATCATTGTATGTAAAATATTCATACTGTTCATCGTAGTTTATAAAAAGGATTGTAACGATGTAAATCCAGATATTCAAACCTAGGAAACAAATACTTTATGAGTAAATTATTTCAGGGAAATTAATATGAAATTGAATTATAAGTAAAGATAAATGGTAGCTAGCTGTGAAATACAGGACGAACGTTTCGTTCGATCAGGGATCAGTAGTTAAGTGGATAACATGTTAGTATTTGAAGCAAATGGTACTGGGTTCTAGTCCCGGATTGAAAATCAACTCTGAGATGCAGATATATTAAGCTGACAAGTCCCAAATAGGACTGAACGCACGTTTTGTATTCCATTGCTAGTCACTATCCATCTTTGTTTATAATGCTTGTGAATTAAGGCAATATCGAGGCACTTTGCATAGGATGCATATATATCAATAAGAGATTGATCAATTTGAAGATTCAAACAAGCAATACAAAATGAACAAAATAGAATATATGAGAACGTTTCTAATTGATTGTGGTCACTTGAATAGGTAACTATTTACTCTGTTTTCGCTTTTGTCAGAACAGTTTTCCGATAACGATGTATTTCTTTGGTTACAGATAACATAATGCAAGTGTATAATTCAATGTTACAATTTTTACCGTAAGAATTCAATATCAAATCATTGAATTGTGTCAACGTTGTGAATATATCCTACTCTTTCTTCCTTATTGCTTAAACAAATCAATAGTTCACTTATTAATAACTAAAAAAAGCACTGACAACATTTATCTGTACAGTGTACATTACTGTTACATTTGTTCGTAGCTAGTTTTAATCTCTGATAAAATCATGGTAAAACATAAACTATTTAGTGTAGAACTGTATTAGATTGACTAGATATCGAGGAGCAATTAACCAATCTATTGTTCAGTTATTTCTCTACAATGAAGGCAAGATACCAAGCTAAATTCACCGTATGAATAGCTTTGTAAAGGTAAGATTATATTATGTTGAGATTACTTAGATTTAGTGCAGAAATGACTGTTCAAAAGTGTAATGAAAATAATATAGCATAAAACAATATTCTATATATAGCTTGATCCTCCTGAACAAGATTTTATATGTTTCGTTTTGATCAAAGTGTACATTCAATCCATTCATATTACTAGCAAATGCCTTAAAGAACAATAAACAGAGACCACAGACTATCGTTCCACAGGATCACTTATTTGAATTTCAATTTAACACGGATTAGTTGGGCATTAATAACGTCAAATACCGGCTCAGTAGTTTAGAGGTTAAGTGTTCGCGTATGAGACCTGGGTTGGAATCCCGCATGCGGGATCGTGTATGCACACTGCTGAGGTGTCCCATTCTAGGACGAGATGACCACCCAGTGCTTCCAGGTGTTCGATGGTGGTCTAACATTGATTGATTCATTATCTCAATCAAAAGTTTATGTCATTGGTAAAGTTGAGATATTACGTAATTGAAAATACCTTGCTTAGAATAAACAATATATTGCTTGATTGTTTGCAAATTTTGTCAATGTTTATTGAGACATCAGTAGAAATGATTACTTCACACGGAGAAAGCTTTACACCAACTTTCGAATTCTTGACTGAAAGAGAAAAAGAAAGATCAAAATATAGGTTAATACTTGGCATCTCATGTCTTAATGCATTTTTCGAGAAAAAGTTTGATAATTCCAATTGAGTAAGTCGATTACAACTGATATCATTATGGATTAAGCCTGAATATAAAAGAACTAACAACAAGAACATATCAACGAGAATTCAATTTAACTGAAATTATTGTCAGTTGGCAATCAGTCAAGACTGTAATTTATAGACAAACCATTCAAAATTAAGAGAGCAGGTATTGGATTTTTGAGTGAAATTCATTCACCCATGTGGTTGAATAGTATTTTGACATTGTAGCTGTTGTTGATTGATAATGAAAACCTTAGCCGCAATTCCTAACTCTAACGTTCAACTTTGAATCCAAATCTTAGTTCCTCAAACCAGTTAATAAACCCAGTAAGTTGGTGGACATCTTCAAGGCTATTTAATCATAACTCAAAGGTCGTACATAAATTATAGTCTCACCGATTATTGGACGGGAGTTGACAGCTTTTCCATTTCTACGTGATTCTTACTGCTGTATTACCTGGACATCACAGTCCATCATTAAACAACCTACAAATTTTAATCTATATATATATTAATAAGTAATTATTCTTCTCAGTCAAAAAGCCATATGCTATTTGATATATTCTTATGACCCAGTGAAACTGATGGAAATGAGAGTAGAAAATGTGTTTCTTCTAGGCTCATTTTAACTAATCCAATTTCTTTTATTATTGTATCAACTCTTTAAACTCTAAATTTAAGAAGAACCTAATTGAACTCCATTATATTTATAAGCTTTGTATGAATAGAATTATTTTTTTTTGTCGAAAGTAAGAATTCAGAAGGTGGATTTTGTGGAGATTTAGTATTTTCATAGTTGAAAGCATGGGTCAATTGAAGGTAGACCACCAAGGAAAATCTGGAAGCACTGGATGGCTGTTTCGTCCTATTGTGGGTTCGAATCTTGAGAGGAGAGGTCGTGGATGCGCTCTGCTGAGGAGTCTCACAATAGGTCGAAACGGCCGTCCAGTGTTTCCAGATTTTCCTTGGTGATCTAGCTTTAATTGACTCATGCTTTCAACTATGAAAGTAAGAACCATCTTTTCTTTGTTGAATTACAGTGCTTTAATCTGTTTGCTATAAACTAGTGTATATTAACAATCTACCTTTTTAGGTAGTATTCCTTGTTCCAAGTCATTATGTTATATTAATAGTCTTTCTATGAGTAGCTTAATAGTTTGTTACTCTTTTATTTCTGAGTATATTATTCTATGTGTTTCCACACTAAGACGAAACTGATAAACAATGCAAAATTTTTACATAAAGACAATTCATGGTATGAACTCTCTGAAAATCATATTTCAGTATTTCTTTTTTTATTATTTCAGTCAACTCACTTATCGTTAGATGAAAGAGTTAGTTCCGTACAAGTTCCATTATGACTACCAAGTAGTTTTAAGTGTATAATGTTTGTTTTACAATTAACCGGTGTACTTGGCTGTGATGTATTAAATATACTTGGTTTTAAATGTCTATTTTTTTCTTGATTGAAACGTAATTGATAACCACTTAAACTGCTTCCAGATCTGGATAGTTTAGTTATTTTGCTTGTGTTAACACTACTAGTCACAAGAGAGTTTGGTGCTTTGGTTGTAGTATTAGTATCAGTAGTAGAGATGTTAGCGACATTATTAATATCATTATGATCATCCAAACTGGAGCATTCTTTATTCGATTCATTTGTTTCAATATGACTAAGAATTCTATTTGTCTCATCTTTATTATCATTATTATTTAAATTAATCACATTTTTAAAATCAACTGTAGTTTTGAAATGTCGATGACGTTTCGTTTTAGTTTTAGATTTCAGAATATTCACATCATCTTCAGATTCAGGTGAAAGAAATCGTTTAGATTTCTGTGGAACAACTTTGAGATCATCATTCGAAAGATTAATGTGACATAGGGGTTCGGCAGAAATAGAATTCTTAGGATTCTTCAGTAAATTTGTACCAGAATTAAACGGATCACCAGTACGTTGAACCAAAGGTTGTACTGATGCACGATCACAATAATCCAAAACAAGAAAACGTTCATTTCTGTTCAGAAAAAAAGTATAAACAACTTGCAATAAACAAATTAATGTTAAAAGATGCAAAAACATTCAAACTATCCAGCGTTTCCTCTGGAAAAGATAAGATATTGAATAACGTAAATTTTAGCAAAATGATTTTATAACTAATGGTAATTGGTGAAAGAACAGTGAAAAATAAGAAAACATTGAACAATTATCTCGTTCTAGTATGTTACTCATCAACAGCGTGCAAGCATCATCTCTTTGGGCATCGAACTGTTTAGCCAAGACCAATTGATTTACGTATCAATGTCTAAATATCGAGCCGTCATCTTTAAACCTGAAGTTAAACTCATGATCACCTTTTGTGATATCCCTAAGTATATATGAGTAGCGTTGTTTACAGGCTGTTTTAAGTTTGTTTTCAGTACATGTGCAGCTGCTTATTCCGCTTTTTATGTTTTCAGACAGTTTATTGAGAAATAACCATATTACTAACATGAGATATTTGCATTATTCATCATATTTGGTGTATAGGTGCTTGTCAAATAACTGCAACTTTTTAATGATTAATTACTACATTTGTTGTAAAATGTAATTTATATCATGTAGTAGAATAGTTGTCTTTACTCTGCTATACTATTAGTTTTATGTTTCAGCGCCGTCTATTTCCCTAATCGTTTGCTAAGAAAATATTGCAATTTTTAGTGTTCTATATTACACAGATATTTTAAATACTTTCCAAATAATATTGTGGTGTGGGTTACTGATATCCACATAAGTAGTATATGGTGATGGTCGGGCATTGAATGCATTTCAGTAGAAAATCTATAAGGAGAGAACGGGAACGGCACACAATCGGTACGAAAATGAATGAACAATTATAATCGGAGACTATGGACGGATATTTGCAGAAGGAACAGTCAAGATTAAGACAAGTGATTGTTATTTTGCAAATTAACTGTTCACTATATAGTTCTCATATTTTAATGAGATATACTATAATTTTGTGCTACAATACATTTGATTGTCCCCACTCGTGTTCTTGTTCACTACAATATAACTTACATAGTAATACTGTATTACTATCAGACATAATAAAAATTATTCTGTCTTGTCAACAATATTAAAATAAAATTTCCATAAAATAAAAACCGGATATTACGGAATAAATTGTGTCATTTCACCCATTCAGATCATTATCATAAGCTGTGTCAAGCAACTGAGTTTGACATATGGTTTAGCATTGAATGATTCTTAAATAATTTAAGGTTTATGATCACTAGAAAAGTACTATCAACAACCTGAGTTCATTCGAAATGATAGCCCTACTAATTCATTTTTCTTGTAACTTAGCACAATATGTTTTTATATAGTTCAGTAGGTACATACAACAAACTGGATTTGATTAAAAAGCAAAATTTTCTCAGGCACTAATATGCGACCAGTCCTATCCACCCTAACCATTAAGAGTAAGTTATATAAAAATATATAATTTGATGGAGATTTCTTGATCATTAAAGACAGTCTTTTTTCATAAATAGTACCTTACTGGTCACTACAAAACAGTATACTTCTTTAAAATCGTATATGGCTAAGAGCTTGTTAGAATCATACAACAGCGGTCTATTTACTGTACCACTATGTTAAGACTATTTTCCATTTATAAATATTGAGAATGGCTTATGCTTTCACATGTTTGACGTAAACAAATTTACATAATTAGGCCAACAATCATAGAATTAAATAACTTTTTCTTTATTTATCTACACCTTTGCCTGTTGAGGAATTATACCAACATAGGTGTAAAAATAGTTCGACTATTTGAAATAGTACTCTTTAACCTAATCTGTTTCTATGTATCTTACTAATATATAAATGATGCTAAACTATATTGTGAAATAATTTGGTAAGAATAGAATTATTAAATATATATCATGAATTCAATTAGTATCATTAAAGCAACCATCCTACAATCAATTTTGATCATGGTTAATTTTAGTTAAGACTTTTTATTATTAACTTACTTAACAGACGTCGTCATTTAGATAATAACAATTTGCATATTCTTTGTACTGTTATGACCACTAGAGCATATGGCACTTTGGCCAAAATGTTGATTGCTTAAGTATCATTCGATGACTCCCTATATATGTATGCGCACAAATCTTATTATCAGCTTTCGTTATGCTGTGCCCTTATTAAATTTGACTATAAATTGCCAATGTAGTTGCTTGCGCTTTCTGCTCGTTGTTTTCTGATATTCGCTTATGTGTTTGTACATTTCTGTTCTGCTTCATTTGATAATAAACTGTAGTTACCGCTTCTCTTTGCTCTCAAAATTCGGTATTATAACGGTTATCAAGGTGAACGATTAACAAAGCACGGCACTACACCATGACAATGAAACTTGTTTTAACATAGAATATTACGTAACATTAAAATAATTGATTTGAAAACAAATTACCAGCACTCACTTTTTCTTTTTTGTTACTAGTAACATATCATTAAATAATATTAAGTAGAATGTATTCGGTTTACGAATAGTCAATTTTTGAAATACTGACATACGTCCATTATCTGTTAAACATTCACGAAGTTCACCTTCTTTAATAAGACGTTTATCACTAATTGCTATTCTCTAATTTGTTATAAAATATGGTTAAGAATAGAATAAGAAAAGATTCTTAACAATGAATATATAGTCTAAATATTTAATTTTAAAAAAAACCGGATTAGTGAAATGGATGTTTTCTTCTTTCCTTCAGAGAAAAATCAGTGCATTAAACACAGGATACTAGGACATCAAATAATGTACGATATTGTATAATGTAAACTTTGATCGATAGGTAGTTATCACTGTTAATGAGTGAATAACATCTGAAAACACTAAGCCATGATTGACTAAAATCACTGATTTGATGCTATGAGGATAAATATATGATTAGATCATTTATGGTGACATTTAGTTGGATTGAACTAACCAACCATACCCATTAGGTCTCTTCTCTTCAATTTGTTAATTGAACAAAGCCTTTCACTTGTTGTTCTTAGTTATTTAAGCCAGAAATAACTAGAAAAAGATTTCCAGATAGTTACTCGAGTTTTTTATACTTTTTAAATTACGTAATGTAAACAACAACTACAATAAAGAATATAATGAATTGAAGATTAAAATAATTCAGTACTGAAACCTTTTGACGATTTGTATACGTCAAACTGTTATAACCAGTAGAGAATTATAAATGGTAACTCTGAGGACCATTTATGAACCAATATGATATGTACATTTCCTATTGTATAATTGCTAAGTAACTTAACTATTCGTATTCGTGTTCCTCTTATCATAAGCTTTATTTTGACCCATAGATTATTATTATAAGATTTACCATTCATGAGTTATCCCCAGTCTATTGATTATTTTTCCCCCTACTCACAGCCACATTTGGACAAATCTTGTATAAATGTTTGTGGTACGATGTAGTCAGTTTGATTGGTATATAAACCCAGTATGTTTGAGAATAATGATTCATATTGCAGAGACTGTTATTGGTGTTCTGGACTTAACTGACTGGACTAGGCAGATAGCAGGACTGATATGTTCTTTAAAATGCTCATACGGCTTTTGTGTATCATTGGATCTGATCGATAATACACTGCTCTCTAATTGGTGGGCATCGTCACCTCATATATTAACTGGGCACACAAGCAACCGATATAACACAAACGAATGAACACTTCTCTTAATGATTAATTTTAATTCTGTCATATTTGATAATATAGAAGATTATTTCATTCCATTTGAAGGTCAATACGTAGAATTTTGACTTTAATACGATATGTAATCCAAAACATGGATTTTCTTGTCCTATTTTAGTAAAAACCAGTAGAATACCAAGGTTTTAACCTAATACTTGATGATCAATAACATGAAGCATGGAATATTTTTTAGAATAGTGAAAAACACGATATAGTATGGTACGTTGAAGACTTGAAAGACGTGGATCAATCTGGAGGACTTAAGTGCCAGTTTTTTAATATAGTTTTTTTTAATGGTTGTATTTAGTGAAAATACTATACAAGTCGTACTAAGGTGGTTACGTATTATGTGTGAGCCTAATTAGGAGGTATATTCATGAACCAGTGCCATCAAATCCACTGACACTGCTTTTTTATAACTCCACTCCTAAAGTCGTAATAACTTGAGCTAAACATTTTTTACAGACACAATGGTTCGTATTTAGAATTAGTGCGGTAATTATTGTATGCGACAAAGCCATAATATTTGTGGGTAATTTAGATCATATTGGTACTTCACGATTACTTGATTGAACCTCTGAAAGTTGTTTAGCTAAGGGATATCCAACACAATCCACTGTATAGTATAATCCAAGTTAATGTTAACCACTTCTACATTTTTTGCTTTTCGTTTGAATTCTTGCAAGCGAAAGTCATGTTCGTTCTACGTTTCTGAATACTTTTTTTGCAATTTATTTAACTTTTGGCTTATTTGAACTCAGTGTTATAAATACTCACTGTGTATTCTGTTCAAATACATTTACTTTATCCATCTGAAGCGACACCTATAAGCGACCTTTACAATATCAATGGTTTCAAGTGGAAAACATAATTCAAGATATCCCATCCATCCCATATCAATCAAGACAGAAATGTATTGTTCTGCACAAAAACAAAAGCACAAAAAGAAGACACGAACAAATTGTGTAAGATATTTTATTCTTACCTTAACATTGTCTGGAAATTCAAGAGAAGAGGATAGTGTAAGGAGTCGAGATTTTCTGTCCATAAGTTCTTTTTCAGTCTCGCTTGCGGTTAGAAGCTATTCAGAAAGGTTAAGAGCAATTACTTTATCTACTAAAAACGCTTTCAGCAGTCATATAATATTAAAAAAAACGAAACTTTAAACTTATCTGATGAATATTGACACCAAAATTGTGGGTATAAAACAAAGTAATAGGCAGGAGAAATGCGTATGAATTGCGAAGAGTTATCAAGTATTTACATAAATAAACATAGCCTTCAATTGTCCACTTGCATTTTACGGTGAGTTCAGCCACCTGGACTCCAAGCGTTCTGTTAGCCCCGTGCTTTCTACATACTTAAACAATTCACTCCGTCTGACAATTGTCTCAATTTCGACGCTCCGCTCCGCTAAATACTACTTACAAACAATCCTGTTTGTAGTGTCTATCACACTAAAACACCATATAATTAAATAAGGAATTTCAACATTACAAAATATTAGTTACACTATTTTCAGTCATTTTTTAATGGTTAAGTATTATCTGCATTTCGGCTTGACGTTGAAACCTTGCTAAAATGAAGTCATATGTTTTCAGGTCCAGTCATTCTTCTATTTTGATGTATTTGTTTTGTTGTTCATCATTTAATCAGACTTTTTAATTCTTTGTTTCAGTCGACAGGTATTTGGTAGTTGTTGAAAAGTATCAATATTTTCATTTCTATAACTCTTTATAGTCATCCTACTTGAATCTTCACTGCAGTTTTTGCTGGTTCTTCGTTCTTCGATTCCATCGCCTAATCTTGTCCTTCTAGGTTGGTCAATACTGACACATTTTTATATCAAACGAAGTTTTTAATTGCTCTTTTATTATGTAACTTGATCTTGTGTGCATGCACATAGTTACTTACAAACAAATTTTCATACCATTTACTCTTCCTTTCCCACTTATGTTCCTCTATGCACATGAGTCATTGATATCATACTAAAAATCTGAATTTCATTCCATGTTTAGATTATCCTGGTGGTTTGTTACAATAAATGCTCTGTAAAGACCCATTTCAATATGAAGTTTAGTCACGTTCCTTTCTCTTCGTTTACTTAAGAATCTAAATTTGTGGAAAAACCAAACTCTTCGAATTTTAACTATTTTGGTTACATCAATGATAGGGAAAATTTTGATATCTAGATAAACGGTATCTGATTTGAAAAGTTAATCAACATTTTTCATATTTCCTCTTAGACTTGATCATTGATCTGATAATTGATCATATTAAACTTATTTTGTCTGTTGTCTTTACATTATACACTTTATTAAAAGTCATTCTGCAGTTATTCATAAAATGGAAATTTTATAAGCAGTATGGGTCTTTAGCAAAAAAGTTTCTTGCATTATGTAACGTAGCTTTCTCGAAACAAAAGATAAATTTTAAGCAAAGATGGATAGTCGCTAGCAGTGGAATCCAGGACGCGCGTTTCGTCCTATTTGAGACTCGTCAGCTGGATGTACCTTGGTTCGAGTCCCAGAGTGAACATCAACTCTGAGATACAGGTACTATCCATCTTTGTTTATCATGCTTGTGAATCAAGGCTATATCGAGGCAATATGCACAGTATGCACATATGCCAATTAGAGACTGACCAGTTGCATTCCTAACACATCGATGGTAATATTCAAACAAACAATACCAAGTGAAAAGCTAAATTTGTTTATTTTAAGTTTGATAACAAAATATTTCTGATTGCATACTCAATACCAATGAAGACTAGATAGTTAATATCTTTATTTGGAGTTCAACAAATAAGTAGGTTTCATTTTGGCAATATTACAATGAAATAACTACATGAATATAAAAACATTATGGTGCAAATGTATTAATATTTAACTTCATAATAGCAAGGTCTGGATGTGAACTGCTGAAGAGTTCCATATATGAACAAAACTGTTATCCAATGCTTCCAAGTTTTCAATGGTAGTTTAACATTGGTCAGTTCATGATTTCAATTAAAACACAACAATCTTCACAAACGTATACTGAGAATTATAAGAAGTTAAAATTCCCAATTTGCTGAAATTTCCAAGTGTCCCTTAAGAACATATTGTGTATATCATAATTATGAAGGTTGTGGCAATTATTAACCTTAGAAATTACACAAACCTCTTACAAACTTAAATGTTAAATTTGAGTGTTCTGTGTATTTGGTCTTTGTGTGATGCAGTCAACGAGCATGGAGTTGTTTCTATCTCCTTACAAAATAGGTTATATATATTAAATTGAACAATAAGTAGAGGGGTAATGTATCTGATGGTCAAATGTGCATAGATTTTTTTTGTTTAAGGCGAAGAACATTAGTACGAAACCTAGACTACAAAGTACATAAGTGTATGGATGCACGTTGTCAATATTTGTGTTCATAATGATATCATATATACATATACAGATTACTATACATGTATATAAATGAGTGTCGAATTTATAAACTAGATCAAAGCAACATAATAAGATAACTTAATTCAATTGTTAGTTCATCTTATACTTTCAGTGATGATATTTGAACAATACCATGTTAGCAAAGGTGGATAGTGGCTAGCGGTGGAATCCAAGACGCACGTTTAGTCCTATTTGTGACTCGTCAGCTGAATGTAACTGCATCTCAGAGCTGACGTTCACTCTGGGACTCGAACGCAGTAACTTTCGCTTCAAACGCCAACGCGTTATCCACTCAGCTACCGAATCCTGATAGCCACTTGCTTGTGCAATGGGGTGAAGTTTACATTCACTTGATGTTGTTTATTTGAATCTTCCCATTGATGTTTAGGACTGCAACGGGTCAGTTTCTTATCAGCATATGTGCCTACTGTGTATATTGACTAGATATAGCTTTATTTTACAAGCATTGTAAGCAAAGATGGGTACTATCTTAGAGAATTTAACTAAAAAGTTACTATATATTTTACGAACTGAATGTCACCCATAATTCTTTAAGCAAAGTATGAATATAATATAAGGAAGGTTATGCTTTACAGTAACATTCATTATGAGTGCAATTTTATGGACATTGAATCTTACACACACACACAGCTAAAATGTAAGCTGAATTAAATGATAATTTACTATATCAGGATAAATTATACTTCTTGTTGAAATCTTTACTTGACAAACAGTTGAGTAACACTTGTATTTTAGCAAGTTTATAATTAACGTTTTAACATCATGAATAAGCTGATAAATAATATGCTTATGAAATATAATTTCGGATGAAATTAAACATTTAACTCACTCGATTTAATTCACGAAGTGCAAGTTGTACATTTTCTCGTTCTCTATCACTTGGTACACGAAAAGGACGTTTTTCAAGTGTTTTATCTTTGGAATCCCGAACAACTGCATCTTGTAATCGACGTATAACTTCAACTAATAATTTTAAACGTGTTAACCTTTGCATTGGAAGTGCTAAAAATGAATTGATCATATTTTTTCCACTTCTCGGATGAGCATGTAAATTATCTAATGCTGAACGAAAACTATCCCGTCGACTAAAACAGAGAAATCAATAGAAAATTGAAAAGTTTCAGTAAACAAAGACTAACTGTCTTTGAATCGAAACCAGCCCAAGAACAATCACAGTAAGGGAGGGATTACAAAAATGATTACAGTCTTTATTTACTTAGTTTCACATAATATGACTTGGAATCAAATAAGCGATGAATGGAATAAATCATTTATTAGTGTTAAAAAATTATCATTTTTGAATTGACCGAAATTAGTTAAAAGTTATTACAATAGTCAATGTATTTCTAATATAATCTGTGATGACTTCTTACATACTTACATAACATAAAACTATTTTCAAATTCGCTTCAAACTCATAATTTAGTCTTAAAATCACTGCCTATCATATATTCATGAAAGACTATTTTCTTATTCGTTTACATGTGCAGGGTAGAAGAAAAGACTGATCAACAACAAAAAAGAGACGAGTCATTGTAAACAAACATTAGATTTCATGTAATTAGTTATTTACTTGATGTATATACTTTTGTCAGAAGGGGGTTTTGTGGAGATTTTAGTAATTTTACATAGTTGAGATCATGAATCAATTGAATTTAGACAACCACGGAAAACCTGGAAGCACTAGACAGACGAAAGTCCTATTTTGGGACTCCTTAGAAGTGCGCATCCACGATTCCGTCTAGCGAGATTCGAACCCAGGACCTATCAGTCTGGCTTGCGAGCACTTAACCGCTAGACCACTGAGCCTGCCCCCAACGGTGTTAATGTCTAACTTCAACCAATCCACGAGATTGAGCAACCACACTTTTGCACAAAAATAAAAAATGACCCTATCAACTTCAAATGTGTTGAGCAGATTATATGTAGCATGTGACACATAGAGTACTTGAATCGTTGAGTTGAAGTGATGTAGTTTAGCGTAAGAAAAACTTCCTTTTAAACTTAAACATCGTCACTTGTATTATCGAATATACATGCATTTTGTTTTAGTCGGATACTAGTTTCAGTTATTCATTGTAATAACCCATAATACTTGAAAGCTATTTTAAATATTTTTTGGATCTCATATACACCAGAAAATCCCTGAGTTAACTCATATTGTTGTATGTGCTACTGATGTCAATAGATATAAGTAGTATGTGTCATCAATCGAGAGAGAAATACCTTGCAGCAAAAGGTTAAGAAGATCGATGGAAAGAGAACAAGAACAGTAAATGATCGCCGAAAAAATGAAGGAACAGTGAAGTCTGAGATGACTGATTGACATTTGTAAAAGGAACAGTCAATTTTGAGATAATCGACATTTTGCTGATTAAGTATTTACTGTATGGTTGTCAGATTTTAATAAGGTGTCGTATAATTTTGTGTTCTAATACGTTCAATTGTCCTCACCTGTCTCCTCGTTCACTATAATACATAGAATATAGGTTTTGTCAAACTTTTGTTTAAAAAACGTATGGTTGAAAAATCTGAATACTGTAATTTAGTTTATTCAACGAATTCTTACGAACAAAATAGCCTGAAATATTAATTCAATTAACCTTTCACTGGTATTTTGTAGTGTAGGTTGCTATGTTAAGCCCACATAACTTCTTTTAGCTTCTGGACAGCCAACTTATCTGTTCTTCTCAAGCTACATTTCGACCTTACTAATTATTTTCTTGTCAACCCTGACTGTTTTTATGTGAACGTATTTGTGTGTTTTTCTAATCTTGCTCATCACATGTTTGTCTGACTAACAATATCTATTCACTTTCAGTTAAATCGAGTTGGCTCACACGCCAACTCCATTTCTTGTCGTTTATTTTCTCTTCACTTTGTTCCTCTGTCTGTCTGTTCAAATCAATGACTGTACAAAATATATCCATTCAAAAATCCATTTTCATTTTTGACTTATTTACTTCCATTATTCACTAACGCGAATTAAGTCGATGATTATCTACGAGGATCGGCGACATGTATGTCACAATAGCAATCAGAAACGATCCAAATGTCGTCAGATTTTGGGCCACTAAAGTTTATCATCTTTGATTATATTATATGTAAAATAGTAGAGGATATTTCATTCATGTTACTTTTGAATTTACATATTGTTAACTGGATAATCTTAAAACATTCATATATGAATAGTATATAAGTAAATTAATGTATATTCGGCTCCTGAATTATACACTTTCTAATTATGTGAATATAGAGAAATATTTGGGAAGCTAAATATACCTTTTAACCTAAACGCTTAAAATTACGTTATAAAAATTTCAAAATGATCAGATAATGAGGAGTGACGAATATAAACAGAACATGGAAAAAAAACAGCGAATCGTTCATTGTGTCTTATTTGGCCAAGGAACGTATTGGATCGAACGCATAAACTAGGGTTACAGGTTCGAACTCCTATGGCCTCCGTTATGTGAAGGAGACAGGATTTAACGCTAATGGCAAACGATAAAAGATATACAATAAGCCACTCAAAATTATTTGGTTTCGTCTACTATAAGACTACTGTTAACCAGGTGTACGAAGACAGAGCTGCATGTTGTCTTTGTCTTACCATTTCCAGAATGAGCTGCAGGATGTTCACACATATGTTGGTTAAGGTGCCAGGTAGTATGTCCCGCACAGCTGTTGAACTTGTAGATTCACAGGTTAGAGGTAAACTTAGGTGGCTTTTCAAACGAAGATACTATAATAGTCGAAATGTTTCTACTTTTGAAAGAATGTGACATGATGAAATCGAGATTTATAACTGTGTACGTGAATGCATATTGTCTATACTAACATATATTCCAAATATATTATTGAATGAGACACCTTATAAGGGTTGAATTGTTCGAAAACCTTTACAGTTAGAACTAGATAGTAGATAACCACTGTTGTAAAGCTCTGTTTGAATTTATATTTGAAATCCCTGCACTTAAAATGGTTAGTGAGAAAACAGATTTATGACAATCTTTTGTTATTTCAACCTGGAAATCGTTTGCTGAAAGCATACAGTAATGAATATCTAAATATTCATCGTAGAATAAAGACATATCTAGTAACGTGCATTTTCTCCAAAAAATGTATGCTAAACTATTCTTTTTACAAACCTATTCTTAAACATAATGCTCAATAATTTCGAACAAAAAACAACAACAATCATAATTTACCAAAGATTTCGAAGTGTTGCCATTTGATACGTTTGATTTCTTAAATAAGTAATATATGGTTCAAAATTTACACCACCAGCATGTTTCACTATTAAGTCACAAACTTCATTCAAGATTGGCATTCGAGATTCCCATCTTGCTTCTAGATCCCGTAGAAACCTAGTAATTTAAATATGAATAGAAAATGTATTTTCTTCATGCCGTACATGGATGATAGCTTACTATTCAAAATTAGTAATTTATTGGTAATCATTGTTTTAATGTGTAAATCGTAGACCAGGAAATTTCATTTAAAATCATTACATTTATCTTTCTTCAGTTTACCGACTTCATTTATTTCAAGCAGATAGTAAAGGATTTAAACGTAGTACAACAATCGATTTACAACTGCTGTGGTACATTTCTCCTCAAAGGACTAAAATAATTTGTTCTGGGTAAAAGTCTCATCACAAACCAATACCGGTGGATAGTTCAGATTAAACTAACCAGTGTTGGGCTGTTAGCTATTCTTAGCTTGAAACCGTCCAGTGATGACCATCTGTGGCTCCGAATGGGATACAACCCACTGATTTGTCAATACTACTGAATTTACAAACTTGAATATAAATTCTACCTAATACTGCGTAATGCTGAAAGATTTTGTGGTTAAAATGAATTATTTTTTTAATGATGGACGATATCAGTATGATTCACAACAGTATTTACAAATCAATCCACTAGGACTCGAACCCAGTACCTTTCGCTTCAAACGCCATCGCATTATCCACTAAGCTACTGAGTCCTGATAGCCAGTCCTAAACATCGATGAGAATATTCAAACAAACAATAGTAAGTGAGTATCTTAAACAGTTTACTTCACGAAGAAAATATTAGAATATTTGTATACTAGTTAACAAACTATTTGAGCAAGCGAAACATGATGATAAAAAGTTAAGAGAATGGGTAAGTATCTTTATTGTTTGTAAATAATATTGACCAAACAATGAGGAACAGTTACTTATCATTGACAACACTTGACAGTGTATTTCACAAAAAGCTCTATGATTCAGGTAAATAAGGTAACAAAAAATAGTCCTTACTTGGCTTGTTTACTAACACTGTATGTAAAAAATAAATTGTATATTTAATGACTACTTACATTTCACTTGCTAAACATACAAGTAGTACATTTGAAAAGAGATGATGTTTTTCTAATGGCTTCAGTAAAGGATGACGTGTTGTAGTTTGATTATTTGTATTGTTTAAATCTGAAGAAAAGTCTGTAAAGTCAGTATTATTATTTATGATAGTATTAGTAGAATAAGTGGGGGTTGGTCCAATCGGTACTGTATTAACTAATGGTGTATTAGGCTCACTTAATACTTGGTCATTTGTATTTATTACATCTTGTTGTGGTGAATTTTGTGGTGAATAACAATCTTTCCCTGTTTTGTTAATTATTTGACTTCCCTGAACTGATGAATGCAGTGGTTCACATTCAAATTCAGGAGCATGATAGAAATGATTTACTAAAACATTTAAGCTTTGGTAATATGAAGCTTCTGAGGTAATCACTTCAAACATAGCCTGAAATATGTGAAAAAAAACTGACTTAGTAATGAATGTTTACTGATCATAAACATACCGGCTTAAGTTTTATAATAAAGTTCTATAATTTATAAACATTATATGAATATATTTGATTTTATGAATAGAAAGTTTTGTACTCAAGCATAATGGAAAAGAATAGGTTCGAAAAACATTTGTGTGGTTCGTCCTAACTACTAACTAAGAAAATTTATGTCCATTGTTATAAATAGTGTAATGCAGTGCTTCGCTAATTGTTCATCTCGATAACAAATTTTAACGGTGCATGAAATCAGAAGGCAAAGGGAAGCTGCAACTACAGTTTATTATCAAATGACGCAGGTCACAAAGCTACAAACACATGAGAAGTATCGGCGAGCAGGCACGAGCAATTACATAGGCAAATGTATGGTTAAATTGTATAAGAGCGAACCAAGAAAAAGCAAAAGTTGATAATAGGATTTGAGTGCATACATATATGTGGAGGAGGATGAGTCATCGAATGATATTTAAGCAATCAGCGTTCTGGCTAGAGTCCGCCATGTGCTCTAGTGATGGTAGCACAACAAAGATATATGTGAATTGCTACTATCCAAATGACAATGTCTGTTAAGTAAGTTAATAAAAGGGCTTAGCCAAAATTAACCATAATTGAAATTGGGTGTAGGATAGTTGCTATAATAGAAATAAGTTTGAAAATACATTTTCTAATATCTGGACAAATAGATATACTGTAGCGGTAGATCCTAGAACAAGGGATAATTTCCTAATGATGTTAGACAACCGAGATCACCAAATCTTATCAATTTTAAGTATCGGATAACCGAAATCACTGATATTTTGGATACTCGATGCTCTGTATCACAAATATAATATATTTAAAGATGAGAACTACTGTATTACAACTCAACAATTCAAGATGATGAACTGAGGATTATGGTTTCATTAGTGTGTCTAGTCTAATGTAGGTATTGCTTAAAAATTCCATGCACAGACGAACATCTGACCATAGCTTCATAGTTTCCGACAATTTAGTTTATATCAATCCGTAATGAAAACAATATGTAAAATAATTTGGCATAAAAAATTTATTAACTTACTTCTTGTAATTGGATTTCATGTCTTGTTAGGCGCTGAAGACAGTTGCTTTCTACAACCTGTAGTGAAGTAAAAATAAATATAAATATAATAATCCAACATTTTTTAAAAAAAAACAGAAAAAATGTCAGTTGTTGACAGTTATTAATGTATCCTTATGAATCGTTTAGCTAAACACTTTTTGTTGCCAATTCAGCACTCAGATCTGTAGTTTTTTAACAATGCATGTAAATGCCTTACAGTTACATTGCTCCTGGCAAACTTTACTAATTTTAGTAATAGTTTACCCAAACAGAAAATCATAAAACAACCTGACACATGTATAACAATAAAACTATCGTAGTTTTATTCTGTCCTCTCTGGTTCCGTTTTCTATTCTCCAGTTGTAGGTTATTATGAATACTCTATAATAGAACTGGAAATGATATTGGATATAATGTCCATACATCATCAGAATGTCTCCTTACAGTGAGTTAATGATCCTGAACTGATGCCTCACATTGTTGTAAACATGTGAAAAATGTACTCTTTAACCAACGATTGAACTATAACAGTTCAAGTAATCCAAAATCACATATTGGTTGTTTACATTTAAAATTGCTAACTGTATTAATCTGATCATGACTATAAACCTCCATTCATTCTGTGTTTCTTTTCAGAATATACATTTAATTATAACATGGATGGTCATACTGAGAATCTGTTTTATAAACTGGTGGATTAGCGTCACTTGGAATCATCATATTTAAAAACTGTTTAAGGTTATAAATAAGCTCAAATTTTCTCTTGAAATCACTTATTCTTAATGTCCAACAGATGCCACGAATTCAGTTAATATAATTAAAATAATCGAGGTTGTCACAAAAGAAAAATTAATTAATTTATTTATTTGAACACATAAATATTGGTACAAGGGGGCACCAGATATATATGCGCCATACAAAAAATTGTCATTTCATTTAATTGTGTGAGGGCTATGATACTGCCCGGGTGACCAGACCGAAGCAGATGGTTTTCTTAGGGAATCACACCCTAAGCCTTCGACCTAAGGGTCAAATCCACAAGACAGTGGAGCATCGTAAGGAGATGCAGTCCAGTTGTAGTAGGTGACCAACGATTGATTCATGCGCCATTTGTTCCCTCAGGTACTGGAGTTCATGCGCACCATTGGTTTGGAATCAGGGTTTTCCAACTCCGCTAGTTGGATCCTCCGTGTCCACCAACCCGGTTAAAGCGCCGGACATTCGCTTTTTGTCCTCTCAATTTCGTAGACAACACCCCCGCCACGAGAAGGCAGTGAGTAGGGCTTCCCTGGCAGAGGCTATAAAGAAAAATATAAACAACAATATGAATAAATTATTAATGATTTTTACTTCAGGCATTTCTGACCAAGCGACACGGAATGCACCTTTAGCTACAACACCAAATCGACTTGTTTTTTGACAAAGACCTTCTGAAACACTTTTACTACCTTGAATTTCTCGTAAATTACTACTTCGTTGTTTTTGTTTAAACTCTTCTTCATTTTTATCATCATTATAATCACTTAAATTTGAAGAGATATCATAGTTATTCTGAAATAGAATGTAAATTACTTTAACTAATATCTTTATGGAAATTGTAAAAGGGGTTAATAGTAGTCAAATTTAACAGTATTTGATTTTATTCTATATTTATTCTCTTTCAATGTATTGAAGATAACACATGAGGATATTGAAATGACAAACGTATTCGTTTCAGATCACGAAAAACTTAGATATGTATATGTATATCAATTGTATTGCGTAGTTAATGTAGATATTCTTGATATTTTCTTGATTATATGAATAAAAATCTGATACAAAGTTAATGAAACAGAAATGTTACTATAGTCAGTTTTTAAACAAAGGTTAAGTATGATTTCTGATAGTTGCATATTTACTAATGTATAAGTTGATTCAATCTTTCCTTATAGTTAACAAAGCTCTTATTCTTGAAAGTCCAAAGTTTAAAAAATCTGATCTCTGCAGATCTGATTAAATTGATACGATAACAATTTAGTAATTAGTAAACGAATTAGTTTATGTGGTAAAAAGATAACTGATTACTGTTTTCTTCATATTCATTCGGCGTTTACATTAAAAGAATACTAATACTACTTATCAAAATCGTATTCAGTTTACAGGGAATACTTCTATTCATCTTTGAATAAGTTGACAGTTGAGTGATAATTCGACGAGACTACAATTTATGGATTAGCCAATCAGAAGCATCTGAGGGGTTTCAAGGTCAAAGCGCCAATTTCAGTACCTAATGCTCAAGAACGATCACTTCACAGAGGATTTTAGGGAAAACGTAATAAATGAGAGGCGGCGATAAATGAGACGACTAAGAAGTTCCTTTATTTGTAATTGTGGTAATCGATTGACTTGTAGACCCTACTGCAAATTATAATAATTGCTATGAACTGTATAATAAAAGCATCAGCATTATTGGCTGCAATATTCGCAGATGTTACTGAAGCTTCAGCTGTTCAGATGTATCAGTGTTGTAGGGATATATACGTATTAAAAATGACAAACTTACACAACCGGAGTACATACAAACAATAATGAAGCTATGTGGTCGAGGCTGAGAGAGTTTTTTGACCTTATCTTGGCTCCAGAGACCGAGTATTATGGAGCCATATGGATGAGTTCCTCTACCTTATGCATTACGTTTTTAAAACCTTTGAACCTCTTTCTAACGTTGACAAGTTTTTGGACCATGTAAAAGAAGTGTATCCAGTTTAATTTTTCGGTTTTGTATAATATATTTTCACTCTGCACTAGCCGTTCCCTGATTAGCTAATCTGTCTCAAGGTCACTTGGGATTCGTTCAAGGTCGTCTATAAATTATAGCCTCGTCTCTAATTCTGAAACATTCAATCCAACTTATGGGAAATATACAAGTGCTTCATCAATTGATAAACACGGTGTATTTTATATGTGTAAAGAGTACGTATGTCTTAAGGAAAAGCGCACATGTTAACGCCTGGCATTTATTGATTCAAATTGAAACAAATGAAATAATAATCATAAAAATGAGGAAATTACAATTTCTTGATGTACACTCCCTTCATCTGTTGAACCAGACAAAGACAGCTCTTTGTTTTGTGGAAGACCTGAAAGTATAATAACAAGAAAATTAAAAGAATTATATTATATAGAAGACGAGATTTCTGTTGAAAAAAAGCGCTTTCAAATATGTTAGGTGTGAATGTATCTCCATTCAGTGATAACCATTACTTACTAACTTACGCCTGTTACCCCTCGTGGAGGAGCATAAGCCGCTTACCAGCATTCTCCATCCAACTCTGTCCTGGGCAAGATGACCATTACATAAGACAAAATAGATAATACTAATGTGTGCTATCAAAGAAAACCAAATAAAATTTCCAACGTTTCATTCTCTTCTCTTCATCCAAGTTATGCAATAGATGTTTCTACTTTGATGCCTTGAAATTGATTTCAAATACATTCTGATACTCAATTATTCAACTTCCTTTCATAAGTGAACTAAATTTTAACTCAATTAAGATTTCATTTAAATAAGGGAAAAATGTGAAGATTAATTGGCAATATTCATATTATCTTTTTCTTACTTACTATCATTAGTTAAAGTAGTATGAAATTTACCCCAACATATCTATATTTTTCGCAAAGTTATCTTGTTAGATGCGGAATTCTGTATGTACGTTTCGCCTTATTTGGGACTAGTCAATTTAATATATCTGCATTCAATGTTGATGTTCATATAGGGACAAGAAACCGGTACTTTGATCTTCAAACGCACTACTCATTATCTACTGAACTATTGAGTCCAGCAGTAATAATCTACACTGGAATCTAGGAATATTCTGTTGATGAGTCATAAAGAATGAAATAGACATCCTAGATTTATGAGCAAATTGCTAACCAACTTCTGTCAGAAATGCTTGTTGCCTAATAACAATATTGAGAGAATCTATTCACGATTCAAATATGCCAATTTGAGATGTCTCCTTGATACAGGACATCAAATAGATTCACTGAAGTCCTTCGAGGTGATTAACAAACAATGAAATTCCAATCTTCTTAAATTTGTCTACGGTATAGCGATCAAAAGTCTAAAACCATATCTGTGTGTCTAAAAATATGGCCATATATCCTTCTTCGCCCTGGTAACATTACATCCTTCTTATGTATCATTGATTACTTCAACTCTTTCTTGAGTTTAATTACATCACTACTACTTTTCTATAATTCTTAATTTCCATTCCAAGTGACTGGTACGAATTATTATCTTTGTTTATCATCATTATTCTGCTTTTAATTAATTTATTACGCAATCATCTAATGTTTGCTAACTCTATGATTTGTCGTCACTAGTTCCAGAAGAGACAGGTGTTTATTAACAGTTGTCTACGCAAAAAACCTTCGGATCCGCTGGCCATGCTCTATCAGCAACAAGTTACTGTGAGAGAAGATAAACCAGATTCCAGCGGACGAAGAAATCAGGAAGAAACGCTGGAAGTGGATAGAACACACATTGAGGGAAGCACCCAACTGAGTTACAACGCAAGTCCTCACATGGAATCCTGAAGGCCAAAGAAGAAAAGGAAGATCAAAGAACACATTACTCTGAGATATGGAGATAGATATGAGAAGAATGAACCAAAGTTGGATAGAACTTGAAAGGAAGGCCAAGGACAGAGTGAATCGGAGAACGCTGGTCGGCGTTCTCTGCTCCATTGGGGGTAACAGGCATAAGTAAGTAAATAAGTAAGTTCAGTGTTCTGGAATGTTTACTCTCAGAGTTTATTTTTTTGTTTGACACAAAAATTTCTTTATTAACTCTTAATTAAAGAGTTGTTAAAAAGAGTTAACTCTTTCAGATTCTTCGCAACGTCATGATACACATATTCATCTCTAGACACCTTTGTTTTGATAAGTATGTGAGCAGCTGTTGAGAATTTAACGAAATAAAATGAACTCTTATTATTTTGTACCAATCTTCAAGATAATAAAAAAATATGTGTATGAAATTTCTCAATGTGTTAAAGGAGACTGATTAATTTGGCAGTCCCTACCATCGAAAAAAAAAGAAATTCAAATACACCTCCAAATGAAATAATATTACTATTTCATAATTTGCTCGTTTACAAATTCAAAATAGGAAATATACAACATTACAGTGAAATTATATTTTGTGTAAAAATCCAGTCAAACTCATTATTATTATTATTATTTGTTGTTACCAGTTTTAGCTGACTTTTTGAAAGAAATAATCTGGAGGAAGCTACGATGAACATAAATACTGTGTTAATGAACTATTCTTAATATTATATAGTTGAAATCATGAGTCAATTGAAGCTAGACCACCATGGAAAAACCGGAAGCACTGGACGGCCGTTTTGTACTAGTATGGGACTCATCAGTAGTGGATTGGTTGAAGTTAGACATTAACTTCGTTAGATGTCAACTCAGTGGCTTACATGTTAGGCGTCCACATCCGAGTCCAATAGATCTTGTATTCGAATTTCGCGAGGGATTGTGGATGCGGTCTACCTTTAATTGACTCAGGAATTTAACTATTAAATTACTAAAATCTTCACAAAATCCCCTCTTGATACAAATAGGTTGTTTATACACTTGGAAAACTATCTTGTTCTTAATATAAATAATCATAATCAATTTTATTTTCATGGTCTTGTATAAAATGTAAAGTACTCAATTGTTTGAGAATACTGAAAAATTAAACTTGTCTTACAATAAGGTACAATCTCAATCATATGAATTGAACATTTAGTTTAGTAATGGTTAAGTACATATGTCAAACAATCATATGGTGTTTACTATATAATGATTTTATATTTCAATTTGGTTAAGGTGTATATATTGATTAATATTCTTTATATTCTAAGTTTTAACATTATTGGTTTGGTACTAATATGTTTTTCTTTTCAAGTACGCAGATAATTGAAACTCCGCCTGTAGCTCTTCTAGAGTTACTGCCGGTCCCAAGCCCGGGTAAAGGAGGAGGGTTGGGCATGGGGTTAGCGACCCCATCCCGTAGAAAAGCTAACTCGCTAAATAACGCTAACCAGAAAAAATAATTCAAACCATTTAAACTCTGCCCTCCAAGTTGAAGGAATAATTATGACGTCTCATGATGAAAGCCGAAATTCTTCGGAAGTCACGAGACCGATGCACCTTCTAACAACCAGAGCAACACTCTTTATAGGTACATGGAACGTCCGGACAATGTGGGAAACAGGAAAGACCAGTCAAATAGCAATGGAAATGAGGAGATACAACTTGGCAGTACTCGGAATCAGCGAAACCCATTGGACACAAACTGGACAACAAAGGCTAGGTACAGGAGAGATGCTGCTGTACTCCGGTCACGAAGGGGAAAATGCTCCACACACTCAGGGAGTTGCTCTAATGCTGTCCAAAGAAGCAAGAAATGCACTTGTGGGATGGGAATCTCATGGACCCAGGATAATCAAAGCATCATTCAGAACAAAGAAGGAGGGGATCACAATGAACATTATCCAATGTTATGCACCCACCAATGATAGCAACGACGATGATAAAGATCAGTTCTATGAAAGGCTGCAATCAATCGTAGCAAAGTGCTCACGAAAGGACCTCACCATCCTGATGGGAGATCTAAATGCTAAAGTTGCAGTGGACAACACAGGATATGAAGATATAATCGGACGACATGGACTAGGAGAAAGAAATGAAAATGGGGAGAGACTTGCAAACCTATGTGCTTTCAACAAATTGGTTATAGGCGGCACAATATTCCCACACAAATGCATACACAAAGCTACATGGATCTCACCGGACCACACCACAGAGAACCAGATAGATCACATCTGTATCAACAAAAAATTCCGAAGATCAATGGAAGATGTGAGAACCCGGAGAGGAGCTGACATAGCTTCAGATCACCACCTGGTTGTGGCCAAGATGAGACTGAAGCTTAAGAAACACTGGACAACTGGACAAACAGCACTACAAAGATTCAACACAGCCTTCCTTCGAGATGCTGACAAGCTCCATGAATTCAAGATAACTCTCAACAACAGGTTCCAAGCTGTACAGGATCTACTGAAAGAACAAGAAACTACTTTGTAGGACAACTGGAAAGGGATAAAAGAAGCACTAACTTCAACGTGTCAGGAGGTTCTTGGTCCTAAGAAGCATCATCACAAGGAATGGATCTCTATGGGAACCCTGGACAAAATTCGAGAAAGGAAGAACAAGAGACTAGCAATTAACAACAGCCGAACACGAGCAGAGAAAGTCAAAGCACAAGCAGACTACGCAGAAGCAAACAAGCAAGTGAAGGAAAGCATTAAAGCCGACAAGCAGAAATACATGGGAGAACTAGCAACGACGGCGGAAAAAGCTGCAAGAGAAGGGAATATGAAACAACTATATGATACAACGAAGAAATTGGCAGGGAGATATAGCAAACCAGAGAGACTAGTCAAGGACAAAGAAGGAAAGACAATCACTGAGATTCAAGAACAGAGGAAAAGATGGGCAGAATACTTCGAGGAACTGCTGAATAGACCAGCCTCATTGAATCCACCGAACATCGAAGCAGCCCACACTGACCTTCCAATAGATGTCACTCCACCAACGATCGAAGAAGTCAAGATGGCCATCAGACAAATCAAAAGTGGGAAGGCGGCAGGACCTGACAATATACCAGCAGAAGCACTGAAGTCAGACATTGAAATAACTGCAAACATGCTTCAACTTCAATTTAAAAAGATTTGGGAAGAGGAACAAGTGCCAACGGACTGGAATGAAGGATATCTCATCAAGATACCAAAGAAAGGAGATCTGAGCCAATGTGAGAACTACAGAGGTATCAGTTTGTTATCAGTACCAGGAAAAGTTTTCAACAGAGTGCTGCTGAATCGGATGAAAGACGCAGTAGACGCCGAACTAAGGGATCATCAGGCTGGATTCCGTAAGGATCGGTCGTGCACAGACCAGATTACGACACTACGGATCATCGTTGAACAATCAGTTGAGTGGAACTCATCACAATACGTCAACTTTATTGACTATGAGAAGGCGTTTGACAGCGTGGACAGGAGAACATTATGGAAACTTCTCCGACACTATGGAGTTCCTGAAAAGATTGTCAACATTATCCAAAACTCATACGATGGATTACAGTGCAATGTGGTGCATGGAGGACAGCTGACAGATGCATTTCCAGTAAGGACCGGAGTCAGACAAGGCTGTCTACTCTCCCCATTCCTCTTCCTTCTAGTGATTGACTGGATTATGAAGAACTCGACATCTGAAGGGAAATACGGAATACAATGGACAGCTCAGAATCAATTAGATGATTTGAACTTCGCAGATGACCTAGCCCTCCTCTCTCATACACACGAACAAATGCAGATGAAGACAGCAAATGTAGCAGCAGCCTCCGCATCGATAGGTCTCCACATTCACAAAGGAAAAAGCAAGATTCTCAAATGCAACACGGAGAACACCAACCCAATCACACTTGACGGCGAAACTCTGGAAGAGGTGGAAACATTCAAGTACCTGGGGAGCATCGTTGATAAACAAGGAGGATCGGATGCAGATGTAAAGGCAAGGATTGGCAAAGCAAGGGCAGCATTTCTACAATTGAAGAACATATGGAACTCAAAACAACTCTCAACCAATTTCAAGGTGAGAATCTTCAATACGAACGTCAAGACAGTCCTACTGTATGGAGCTGAAACGTGGAGAACTACTACGGCCATCATCAGGAAGGTACAAGTATTTATAAATAGTTGTCTACGCAAAATACTCAACATCCACTGGCCGGATACTATCAGCAACAGCGTTTTATGGGAGAGGACAAACCAGCTTCCAGCTGAAGAGGAAATTAGGAAAAGACGTTGGAAGTGGATCGGACATACATCAAGGAAATCACCAATGTGCATCACGACTCAATCCCTAACTTGGAATCCGGAAGGGAAGCGGAAAAGAGGAAGGCCAAAGAACACACTACGCCGGGAAATAGAAGCCGATATGAAAAGGCTGAATAGTAACTGGAAAGAACTGGAAAGGAAGGCTCAGGACAGAGTTGGATGGAGAATGCTGGTGAGCGGCCTATGCTCCTCGACGAGGGGTAACAGGCGTAAGTAAGTAAGTAAGATAATTGGGGATCTTTTGTGGAGATGTTAAGTAATTTTTTATATATAGTTGAAATCATGAGTCAACTGAAGCTAGACCTGAAAGCATTGGACGCCCGTTTCGTCCTGTTGCTGGACTCCTCAGTAGTACACATCCACGATCCCGCACGCGAGCGAGATTTGAACCCAGGATCCACCAGTCTCGCTCCAGAGCACTTAACCGATAGACCACTGAGCCGGCATTCAACGGTGTAATTGCCTAACTTCAACCAATCCATGAAGCTGAGAAATCATTTTACCAATGCCTTCAGTTGATTGATATCTCACAACAGACCTGGTTTTGCTACTAAAAAGTTTTTCTTTTCAAGTACACAGATCATTGTATATCCTTGAGTTGTATAGTTGGATTACAGATGGCAATGTTATTTAGGATATGACTTGGGTTTTTATTTGTGAATTACCAGCTGGATGCACTTGGATCAGCTCAAACATGTTAACAAAAACCAAATGTAACTGAACTCTGATTATTAGGTGCACTATGATACAAATCCTTGGGAATAATAATTTAATGTGTTCTACAAGAAAACATAAATTGGTTGATTTTTAATGTCTGAAAGAAAAAAAAATTTTCACAATACAATCACTAATTAATAATCATTATCATATTCACTCTTCCGTAATGTTGATCCACTTTAAACAATTCTTTTTATTTTGTTCGATGTTAGTTAACTGAAGACACAAACAGTTCTAAAGATTGGTAGTAGGCTTAACATCTCAGAAGTAATGCCTCCTAGTGCAGCACTTACTGGTACGGGTGAGAATATGTGCTCCCAAACAAATATAGGTGCTTTTTGTTAACGAAGCTAAAAGGATGTTTAAGTAACCCCGTTTGTTGTCTTCAAATAGTTAACAGTCAGTATCAATCTCATGAAATAGTTAAGCATTTAAGTATGCTCGAAATGTTAAAAAAATAGTGGAACATTTAGTTTCATCATAATTTTCACATTTTTAAGTGACTTACAGTTGTCAACAGAAATAATGGTAAATGCTGACACTTTCAAACCTATCATCAGGCGAGTTACCTTATACATGCGAAAAGGTTTCCAAATATAATAAAATCATTTAGCAAAAAATTACAAATTGGTGTTTTAATTGATTAACTCAAAGTCAAGCAATTTCCAATGACATTCAGGGAGAAAAAACACAACGAACGAATAATTCCGTAACGGACTTTAAAATACCCATCAAGAAGTAGCTCAGTGGTATTTGGCGTAAACATAACTGTCAATGAATTGTATACTATTTACAGTATAATGCTTACAGACAAGAATGACGTATCTCATGCACATAGTTCACTTTATTATTTTGAAAAGAGCAAGAATAAAGATTCTAGCAGAATAGGATAATTTCATTCAATTTCGTTTGGTTCTCGTCAGCTGTTTACAAACTATGATATTTAAAACATAATTACAGAATGGGTTTAAATTACTTACATGAAAGAGTTGGATGTTGAAGACACATTAGTATTGTATAACAAGGGTGTAAATAATTTTAATAGACCGAATAAAATATTGTAAATATATGCCTTATGTAAAAGAAAATTCACCAATGATTGTTACAGGAGTTCAGACGGCCAGGAACAAGTGATGACACAATGAGTAAACGCTGATAGGAATAAAATGAGTGAACTTCAGTTAATAAAATAAGGTTAATAATCTGGAAGTTAGTCGAAATCATAAAAACTCAATGAAGTTATAAATGCAGGAAAAGCGTTTTGAAAAATGTTTCATGATGCAACAAAGGAACATTTGTCACCAAGGTAAAAAAAAAGATTAATAACCATCTCCTTCTGAACACATAAATCAGGTCTCTGGTAGCAATGGTTTCATCAAACTTTAGAAGACTGGAGTTTGGCTGTTTATTAACCACATCGGAAGATTGCAAAATATTGACCTGATGTCCTGTATCAAATCTATATAATAGATCATGATGTGTTAGTACAACTCTATTTAAAACAAAACAATAGACCAATATCTTATGACACTCTGTCTAATATTTCTTCGTAATTATTAGACTGAGCAGAAGTGTTATGCATATCAGCCTCTATTGCCACAATGAGTTAACTAAGTTTCGATAGTAATTAGTGCACCAAAATAAATAAGAAAGATGTGCTCACCACTTATATTTGCTGGTAGATCAAATAAATTTAACGATCCTGATCTGACAAGTTGTTGATTCGTTGCTTCATATAAAAATTTCAATATCGATTCATCTAGTAAATGAGCAAATGCATTTGCAACCAAATTTATATCCGTTCCACTTTGATCTGAAATTTGTCCAATATCAATTGGATCACTGACAAGATTGATTGAAGTTTCTTGATCATTCTCATTATGATCATCATCGACATTTTGTGTTTCAGGTGTAGATTTCTTAGCTGTATTTGCTTTATTTGACAGTGCTATCTAAACAAATAATTGTAAATATTAAATATGAAATGTGATTATTAATCTCTTAGTTCTTTTTTCTAACAAAACAAATATAAATAACAAGTAACTCATTTGAAATTTCAGTGATAAGGAAAAGTTTACTCCTTAGTTCCTGTAGAATAAACATGTTAGTAGAAGTTATAAATAAATTAATATATTTGTAATGTACCAATGAGTAGAAAAATTAGACTTTCTGACTCAGTGTAAGCCACTTTTTCAGAGAATAAATAACCAAATTAACATTAACATTAATCCAAGTTTAAATAGTGCAACGGAACAACACGAATATTAGGTACGATCAATCAAAAAACAGGTCTGAATAAATTAATGTCATGTCATTTCGGTCAAGGTGATACACAAGCGACAAGTAAGTAAATTTGTGTGTGTTTGTATGCAGTTTTAATGATGAAAAATGTGTGACCTTTATAATGACAATAGAGGATAGAGTTTAATATCCGAGGTAACTAGAGTTTAATTTGTAATGTAATGGTGTGAATTGTAAATAATATTAGCAACTTCGATGATTCAGAAAGGAGAAAAACTTTTCAACCTTCATTATGCACGTTTATTCCTATTTTACTTCACATAGAAACATATCAACACTGAATATCATTCATCATTAATAACTCATCTTACACATACATACATACACACAATTTATGCAGTCTCCTTTAATTCACATCGTTGAACTTTTCACTTGATTCTCATTCAACTGACTCATATTATCCTGTTGTACAAAAACTTCGACATCCAAATATGATTGGATTAAAAAGTAGTAGAGATTTTGATATGATTGTAAAAACACTATATATTTCTTTGATGATTTTGATTTTGATTATTTCCCTGAAGAAGTCCAGACAAGTTAGCTGGACGAAACGTTGGAATTATTTAAATTTCAATCGCTGAGACTATTTCAAATATAATTTTTTCACATATAATGAATATTAGACTGGTTGACTAGGATAGATAGTCCAAGTAGGATGTATGGTAAAGCCTTACTTTCTATTGAGAACAGTGAGATTAGGCATTATATGGAAAGCTTCAGCTACTCTCTTTTCTTTGTAATTGGAAAAACTTTTCTGTAGTATTTTGTTATTTTTGTGATTAATTTGATGATTGTTGAAAACTGCGTGAACTGCTATTTCCGATTTAATTTGAAGTCTATCCAGTTCTACAGGATTATTAGGAGGTTTCTTTGTGTATCTAATACGTTCTTTGGCGCAAGTCAAGATTTAACGAGATGACTCTCCAATATAGAAGGCATCACAATCGACACAGCCTAATTTGTAGACGCAGTTCTGTGTAGACATGAATAAGATTTTTTTATTTTAATCGAACTAAAGTATTTCGAAGTGTGTTCGTTATCTCGTAATATACTTTAATTCTGTGTTGTCTTAAGATCCTTTGGAGTTCTTCTGTTGTGCCATGACGGTATGGTAAAACTGCAGTACCAATCCATGGCATTTCATTCGAATTATTATTACGTACTGAACTGTCTTGTTTTAATATACTTCTAATAGTCTTCATAGGAAATTTATTAAATCGTAAGATGCTGATTACATTCTTTTGGTCTTTTTGTTTGTTCTCTTCTGAAGTGATGAACTTTTTAGTAGAAGATTTCATAGTTGGAAGTACTCTGTGTTTAAGTAAAGAATCAAGTAATACTCAACAACAAATAAAAGAAAAGAATAAACATTTGTTTTTTATCTGATTAATGTAGTAAGTTATAGCTTAATCAATTACAATGAGAATGGCATACGAAATTGATCGTATGTGACATGTAGCTTATTGAATGTATACAAATTTTACTGCCTATCTAATTGTAAATAAATTATTTAAAAAGGACTTCTTCATAAATCATTTTTTGGATTTATTTCAAGAGTCCAATAAATCCTTCTTCACCAGTCTTCGGTTTTTGCATTTTCAAGCTTTTTCTGTTGTAATTCACTTAGTATTGTTTGTTTGAATCTTCCCATTGATGTTTAGGACTGCAACTGGACTCAGTAGCTGAATGGATAACGTGATGGCGTTTGAAGCGAAAGGTACTGAGTTCGAGTCCCTGAGTGAACATCAACTCTGAGATGCAGTTACATCTAGCTGATGAGTCACAAATAGGACGAAGCGCGCATCCTGTATTTCACTGCCATCCACTATCCATCTTTTCATATTCTGTTTTGTTCAATTTTCTCATATACAATTTGTTTAATGTCATTAGAAGCAGCTATGAAATCGGATGAAGAGTTCAATTTGTAAACTTAACATTGAATGCAATACTTTTCTTCAATGCAAAACAAATAAGGGAAAATATTATATTTAATTCTACATGTGTTTGTCAGTATTCATTGATGAACAGTATGAAAAAAAAACCATCGGAGGGAATATTATGACAATAATCTCTCAAGATTTTAATCCACGTTTCTAAGGAAAAGAAATTTATAACTCATCCAAACATTCAAAAAAGGCAACATATAAGTAGGTACTATAAAACAATTTGAAATTAAAACTTGTGATACATATATACTACTTACAAATGATATATCATTAATTACTTTTTTAAATTTATTAATATGATCACTAAGGATATTCAACATATTAAATTATTTTAATGGTATGATAATAAGGTAACTTGAGTGTGTGTTTTTTTTGTATTTTCATCTTCCATTAAAAAAAAAGACAACGAATAGAAGCAACTGACAAGAGAGCCAGTGCAAAGAGATTTAATAGTAATATAATGACCAATCAACTTAATCGATGTACAACACATGATTGAGAATCTGTTTGTAATCATTTAATTAAGCATGGGAATATGTACACATTTCATAAGAGTATGGTATCAGAAACAAAAACAATCGATCAATATCACAAAGATAATTTATCAAAATTGGCTAACTAATCAACCATATTACATGTATTATTGTCATAAACGCAATACCACTTTATGTTAAAGTCCTAGCATACTTACGTTTCCCTAGACTTGAATGTGAATGGGGAGTAGTATAGTGAATAAAACACGACTGGGAACAATTGAATGTATTTAAGCACAAATTACAGACTATCTCACTAAATTCTGATAACCATACAGGGAATAGTTAATTTGCAAAATATCGATCAATTGTCTAAATTTTCACTGTTCCTTCTGCAAATATCGGTTCATCCTCCCTAATTCCATTGTTCATGCATTTTCCTACCAATTGCGCTTCATTTCAGTTCTTTCCTTATCGGTCTTCTGCCAAAATACATTATATGCTTGACCATCACCATATACTACTTATGAGGATATAAGTAGACCACACTACAATAGTAGCACGCAAATAAAAAATTAGGAGGAAACCTAGTACGGAATCGGTGGAAAGTGGACTAAGTAAATGAATCATTTAGCTGAATTTACAAATAAACAGCCATTTTGCTGCCAAAATGTATGCAGAAAATAAATATTGAGATTATGTAATTTCAATAAATTATAAGTAAATTATCCATCTAGAGTAAAATCTACCTGATGGGCAATTATTCCATAACCTTGATATAATGGTAGATTTGCAAATCGAGATTGATAACCTTGTACAATTTCATCATCATTTCTTGAATAAATATTTATTTCGTTGTTTGACTTTGAACCACGTGATTGTGAAACTTTATCTGACGTTAATGTTTGATTTGATGCGAACATTGATTTAGCTTCAGAAAACATACGTTCTGATTCCTGAGAAAGATTAGATAAATGAAGGTTAAATGTTATTGACCTTGGTAAATAAAATGATGTGATACACTATAATAAATAAATAAATTTATGTAGTTGAAATCATGAGTAAATTGAAGCTAGACCACCATCGAAAACCTGGAAGCACTAGAAGACCGTTTCGTCCTATTATGGAACTCCTCAGCAGTACGCATCCATCATCCCGCCCCACGAGATTCAAACCCACGACCTACCAGTCTCGCTCCAGAGCACTTAACTACTAGACCACTGAGCTGGCCGGCATCCAACGGTGTTAATGTCTAACTTCAACCAATCCACGATTTTGAGCAACCGTTGACCAATTGTCTTCAGTGAGTTGTTATCTCACAACAGACGTGATTGAACTCTACTGGTTACTGCTTCCCACTATAACACCAGGACATGTATATTGAAGTCAGCACTAGTGAGCATATGATCATTATCAGAAGGGGGTTTTGTGGAGATTTTAGTAATTTTTATATAGTTGAAATCATGAGTTAATATATTTTTTTTCTTTTGATAGTCAACTATGGTTAAAGAAAACGCAATAAGCAGTTGTTCAAAAGTGAACGTCATAAAGAATAATCTGTAATATTTGATTTAACGCGTTGAATTCCCAATACGAGAGATGAATGAAATGTAAAACCTTATTCAGAATAAAACTCTTACCATATTGGGAAATGTCGATTAAATGTAATAGGATATTTTAAAGCTAATATTTAATTTGCTCTGTTAACTTTCTTTCACAGTATATTTCAAGAAAACAAAACAACATGATGTACTTTGATCTGGTTTTTCTTTAACTTCCTTAATAACCTGGATTACTGATTTTTCTAAAAAAAGTATATTTCTATATCACTTATTAGTGGTGTTTGTTTTGATCATGTTGTCTAGATGGAAAACAAAAGCTTCACGATTAATCCATTCAGCTCAGAGAATGGAACCACTCTAAAATCATGTAAATGAGTTAGAAAACTTCTCCTCCGTCTTATGTCACATAATAATATATTATGATATTTCAGTTATAATTCTGTATACGGTCATGTTCTACTAGGTATATGTTATGTCCCAATAACAATAGTTAATGGTAACTTTGGGATCCATTATGGGCCAATACTATGCATATATTTTTTATCGTATAATCACTAAATAATCAAATTATTCATATTCATGTTCCCCTTATTATAAGCTTTATTTTGACCTATAGTCTATTATTGTACGATATACCATTCCTACGATATACCATACCTACGATATACCATTCCTAGTCTATTAATGGCTGTCTCCCACATTCACAGCCACATTTGGCTAAATTTTCTACAAATGTTATTTTCTATTTTATTGGTACGGTGTGGTCATTTTGTTTGGTATATAAACTCGGTATGTTTGAAATACAGTGATTCATACCGCCGTCTTAACACATCATACATTAACTGGGCATCCACTCGGCCACAAGTTATAACAGTATAATTACAAAAATGCTACAAAATTAGACAATGATTCTTAACTATAAGGTTAACGTGTTTGGTCAATCAGAATGTCATAAATTATAATCTCTAATTTTACCAACTTACTTTCATTGTCATCAATGCTAACTGTTCAGTATCCACAATATCACTAAAAAGCAAAACAGTGCATAATTAGTTTTTTTCTTTTACATTATATTATAAAATAAATAAGTATATTAGAAGGGGTTTTCTAGATATTATAGCAACTTTAACAGTTGAAGCTAGACCACCATGGAAAACCTGGGATAACTTAAGATATACTAATCAATATTTTCTAAATAATAATGATATAATTTTGATGGGGTTTTGTTGTCTGAGCCGGATTGTTTGGTCGAGGAGCTTTCATCGTCCTTCTGAACGACATCATCAGCACAAACTTCTATTTCAGACGATAGAACTTTTTCGTATATTAGTTGTAAATTTCATCTTGAAATAAATCCGTTATTCTTATTCAGGAATTGTTTTTTAATTAAGTTTAAAGCAATTAATACCTTTGATAAATTTCGATAGTGTAATAAGAAGACGAAGATTATCAAAACTATGTGATATATTAGCGCAATACATTTCGAACAACGTGATCACACATATACTTGTTAAGAAAAGGGTGTATACTAAGGTTTACTGAAGCCTAATCAATACGAAAATGCAAACCCCCTTCGTGTATTCAAAAACAGTTTGTTCTCACCTTAAACCTACCCTGGTAATATTATCCAGAGTGATTAGGTGTCAACTTGTTTTCACATTATATTCATTTAGTATTGTTTGTTTGAATAGGACGAAAATAGGACGAAACGCGCATCCTGGATTCCAATGCTAGCCACTATTCATCTTTTCTTATCATGCTGGTGAATCAAGGCTATATTGAGGCAATATGCACAGTATGCACATATGCCAATTTGAGACTGACCAGTTGCAGTCCTAACACATCGATGGTAATATTCAAACAAACAATACTAAGTGAATTTAAAAACTTCACCCCATCACACAAGCAAGTGGCTATCAGGAATCAGTGGCCGAGTGGATAACGCGATAGCGTTTGAAGCGAGGGTACTGGGTTTGAGTCCCAGAGTGAACATCAACTTTGAGATGCAGGTACATCCAGCTGACGAGTCCAAAATAGGACGAAACGCGCGTTCTGGATTCCACTATCCATCTTTGTTTTCACATTATTTTATTATTATTATGCTTGTCACCTCTTACCTCCATTTCCAGTCTAGTTGAACTTTTATTTTTATATATAAATGTTCTTAACAAGTATATGTGTGACCAGATTGTTCGAAATGTATTGCGCTAATATATCATCACATAATTCTGATAATCTTCGTCTTCTTATTACACTATCTTAATAAAGTATTATAGTTCTGAGCTAAAAGGTCACATAATGTTAAGCGAACTATACAACCTTACTAAGGTATCATTAATTTATCGATGAATTTTTTTATTTAACGCTCAATATAAATCGATCTTAATAGTTAAATTCACGATTCAATCTAAGAGAGACCACACCATTGAAAACCTGGAAGTACTAAACAACCGTTTCGTCTTAGTATAAAACTCATCAACCTCAATTGACTCATTAATTACGCTAATAAAATTACTACAATCGCTACAAATCCCCATTCTGATAATAAATAAACTTATCGATATGCTTTTTGGTATCATTTGAAATCATAATTTTACAATGTAAGAATTTCATATATTAATGCAATTGTAATGTTTCAAATAAATCAAAGAATTCATGAATAATTTGTTGTCTATTTGTTGAAGTTCTAAGTTTGTTTCTGATAGTAAAGAAATAAAGTACAGCCTTTGATTTGAATCGGTTGATGTTGGACCACCATTGAAAACCTAGGAGCACTGGACGGCTATCTCGTCCTTATATGGGACTCTTCGGTACTATGAACCCAAGATACCGTGATCAGGATTCAAACCCAGAACTTTCGGTCTTTCACGCGAATACCTAAACTCTAAACTACTGAGCCGGCCAGTATCCAACAATGTTCTAATATCTAACTTCAACCAATCAACGAAATCGTACGACCATCTTTCAGGTTTTCAATAATAGTCTAACATCAATCAATTCATGATCTCAATCAAAAAATGTAACAATCTTCACAACTCCATATTGAAAATAAACAGTCATACATTTTCTAACTGATATCTATCATAAATTTAAGAAAATATTCTTTATGTTATGATGTTTAAAATGAAGGTTTATATTTAATGAATGCACTTTTACATGTCAATATTAGTAAATTTGTTCCTTTAAAAAATTGAAAATCAATCATTCATTACATTTTCACAATTTTTATTTTAACTGTTGATGTTATATTATTTGAAAATGATTTTTAATAACCCCTGTTAAGTTTTTCATGGAATGGTATTAACAGCTGTTCTGTAATAATTTAGTTTTCAACTGTAAATATATAAAATCCTTTAGTATGATATTTTGATTTAGTAACGTATACAAGATAAATCAAGTCAGACAGTAAGTAGTTATTCATTGATTACTTACTTACGCCTGTTACCCCTCCTTGAGGAATCTAGACAGCCCATCGGCACTCTTCATTAAACTCTATCCTAGCCAATCTTTTCCAGTTGCTATTCATCCTTTTCATGCGTGCTTCCGATTATGAACGCAGTGTGTTCTTCGGCCTTTCACATTTCTGTTTCCCTTCAAGATTCCAAGTTAGAGCTTGCCTCGTTATGAAGTTTGGTGATTTCCGCAATTTATGTTCTATCCACTTTCAACGTCTTTTCCTAGTTCCCTTTTCAGCTGGAAGTTGGTTTGTCCTCTCCCACAGTAGGCTGTTGTTCATGGTATCCGGCCGTTGGATGCTGAATCTGTTGAGTAAACGACTGTTTATGAATACTTGTACCTACTTGATGATGAATGTAGTAGTTTTCCACGTTTCAGTTCCGTACAGTAGAATTGTCTCGAACATTGTGACTCTGATATTGGTTGACAGTTGATTTGAGCTCCATATGTTCTTCAATTATGGCAATGCGGCTCTTGATTTGCCAATCATTGCCTTTACATCTGCATCAGATCCTTTTTGTTCATCAATGATGCTGCTATTTAGGTACGTGAAAGATCACGCATCTTCCAGAGCTTCTTCATCAAGTGTGATTGAGTTATTGCTCTCTGTGTTGCATTTGAAAATCTTGCTTTTCCTTTTGTGCATGTTGAAGTCTACTGATGCAGTCTGCTACTACACTAGTTGTCTTCATCTTCATTTGTTGATGTGTATAGGATAGAAGGGCCAGATCATCTGCGAAGTCCAAATCTTCTAATTAATTCCGAGCTGTCCGTTGTATTCAGTGCTTCCCCTCAGATACGGAGGTCTTCATAATCCAGTCGGTACAGTTACAATATCTGTATTATCTGCTAAATAACGTCTAGGATTTATTAATCTATTTTCGGAAAATTAACATTTCTACATTTAGTTACGCAATACCTAGACATTATATTGATGCAAACTCAAAAATTTTATATCATCGCTTTTCCTAGAAATAAACTTCACTCTCCTTAGATAAATGATTCATAAAACGAATTTATTTTCGTAAATATCATACTGATATCGATTGATTCATCTGTTTATAGCTTGAAATATGTACACTGTCATAATAGCAAGTCCATCTTATAACTACAAGTATAGCACTAAATACTTATTAGTAGAGGCTTCACTAAGATCATTATTAGTTAAAGATGATAAGCATTGGAAAAACTCTCTAAGAAGTTATGATATTTCATTAGTAAATTAAATTTCATTCACCAATTGCAAGCTAAAAAATACTTTTATCACTACTCATTGAATTAAATTTTCTCAATAATTATTAGAGGTGGTAGGAGGTAGTGAACAGAAAACCCTAGACCTAAGTTTCATGCAACTTAACACTCATCAGTAAGGTGTAACTGTAATCTTAAGGAAACTGATTCTCCCTGACTAATTCGATCCCGTGTCATACAGCTTCAAAGGATTCAATCTGCACTAAGAAGGACCTAACATGCAAGGCATTGATCACCACCTAGTGACCAATCAATTATTTCAATAATTTGATCATTTAATTATTGTATTACTCTCTTTAAATTGTACATAAATCATAACAGAAAATTTGTTTTTTTCTCTAAGTTCAATCATTAAACTAAAATTAGATGTTTTTGGCATTGAATACAATGTTCATTTGTGGAATAGTCAAGTGTAATCGAATCAAGAAATGTATTATTTTATAATGATAATTTTCGAAAGTTAATCACTTCAGTTTAATTCAAGCATAAATAGTTTTTTTCAGTTGAGATTTTGGTTTTAAATAAGCAGTATATTTAGTTGTTTTAGATAAAATTGGAGGAAAATTATACACTTTTTATATCTCTCAATATTTAGGCATTTTATATAGTTATGATCATGAGTCAATTGAAGCTAGACCACCGTGGAAAACCTGGAAGCACTGGACGGCCGTTTCGTCCTATTGTGGGACTTCTCAGCAGTGCGCATCCACGATCCCTCCTAGCGGGATTCAAACCCAAGACCTACCAGTCCTGCACCAGAGGAAGAATATACACTTTTTACATCTTTCAATATTTAAGCATTTTGTTGGAAGATGGTTGTTACAAGGAGATTACATAAAGACATTCTTCTTTCTACAGTGATTGTCGATACATTTTTTTCGCTTTTAAAGAGACGAGCAGAATAAGTAATTATGTATATATGGATAACCAGCTAAGTGGTAAGTGCTTTTTCAAGTAAATTTATGGAATCACTCATTCTGACTACTACTTTTAGGGTAATAAGTAGTATAAGTAAGTAAATGCATTAATGTTCTCATATGTAGGTGTTTCTACAGGGTAGCAGAAATCTATATGCAATGAATTACTGATGGATCAATTTCCCTCCTTTGTATTAATAGACTTGGTATTTCTCTATCAAATTTCATTTACAAGATTTATTAGACGATGGTATACTTGTAACAGTAGAATTTTATAATGTTCATAAATCTCTATCAGAATGTACTAAGCTAATACTCCTAACTTCACTGAGAATAACATTGGGAAATGATTGAAATCTAGCTAGATAACAAATTTCAAACCAAGCCATCTAAGATTTATGATTGGCTAGAGGAGTTTATTCATATGTATACATCCTCATAAAAATGTTGTCATATTACAGTATACTCTCATCACCCCTAGTCATTTGTGTGATCAAAGTTCGAAAAATCTATTATTATTATTATTTGCATATGACTTACGTTTTGTTCAAATCAGTATTTTGATTAGTTTGACCATCTTCAATAGCTGTTCGAATATCTTTACTAAATAAACTGAATGGCTTCTTAAATGTGACTGAAAAGAAATGCGAAAACGAATAAACAGGTCATTAGGGCAAAAAGTTGCCTAACTAATCAAAGAATCAAGAACATTTACTGTCAACCGTCATTGAATCGTTTCGTTTATTCTATAGATACTAGTTACCCAATGTATAGGATATTCAAATTATGGTATATGAAACTATTGTTCTACACATTTAACCATACTTCAGTAATTAAATACCCTATTTGTACTTCATTCTGATTTGTAAGTAACCTTTTGACAGTATAGTGTTTGGAAACCATGTCGATCAGTTTGGACCATCTATCCGTTTAGCTAAGTATTCTGTGCAAATTATAACTTTTATAGTTAGAATGATATAGATAAATGATATGTTTTCTAGACAAAATTTACAATCAGTAAATGAAATGAAATCCATTCATTCAATTAACCATTGTTAACTTAGTTCCTTGTGTATCATGCTGATGAACAGATAAACAATTTTTTCTCGTCTAGACTAATAGCATTAATAAATAAAATTGAAAGTATGTTTTTGCAGAACATAATACGCTGATAAGCAAAGATGGATAGTGGCTAGAAGTGGAATCCAGGACGCGCGTTTCATCAGCTGGTCATAACGGCATCTGAGTTTATGTTCACTCTGGGACTCGAACCCAGTACCTTTCGCTTCAAACTCCATCGTCTTATCCACTCAGCTACTGAGTCCTGATATCCACTTGTTTGTGCGATGGGCTGAAGTTTAAATAAATTTATCATTGAATAATTCCATATTCCCATTGATTTTTGGGACTGCAGTTGACCAGTCTCTTATTGGCGAGTCCCAAATAGGACGAAACGAGCGTCAGACTGGATTCCACTGCTAGCTACCATCCAGCTTTGCTTATAATAAGAGACTGACCAGTTGAAGTCCTAAACATCAATGGGAAGATTCAAACAAACAATATCAAATGAATTCATACTACATTGAGTTTAGCAGCTTATCATCCGTATGGAGATTTTATCCTTCTAAATGAATTAAACTAATATTTTTGAAGTACATTTTTCAATCACATGTAAGCTAGTGATTTCAATTAACTCACTTGTAAACTTAACACATCTCAATAGAAACCATTTTGTTGGGGATGTTAGATCCCCGGAACTCACTTGGTAAATGCCTTATTTTTGTAATTTTATGGTGAAATTTTGAATTTTTTTATTTTTGCGCCAAAAGCTCTCTTTTCACCTTCATGTTGTATTTTCCACTAGGGAAAATCTCAAACACTATTAATCCGTTGTGTCTTTTAGTATGCCATTTTGTAACGCTTCCCAAGAAGTTTTATGTTGTATTTATACATTTAACTTGTGCCTATTGGATCTAGCTACGTGCGGAATATATTTATTTCCTGTTCGGACTTCGATTTCTCTCTCTAGTTAAAGGGGTTGGGACGCATAAGAATAGCTAGCTTATTGGTTTCTGATCACAAATCTTTGTTCCGTTAGCAGACTAGGTGAACTCGTAATCGCTTCAAATATAGCACTTTGAGATAAATAAAAGCTATTTTCTTCAAAACAATCTGTGGTCAATTATTATTATACTTATCTATGACGTGAGATGATAAGCATTTTAACATTTTATAAATTCATTCTACATTGACTACAGTTTACAAGATCAAATCCTGTTTTGAATTTATTGTAATCTCCTTTCTATGTGATTATTACGTAATGGACCTTATTAAGTAACTAAAACAAAAGGAATTCTTGAAATATATTACTTTATTCTAACAAACTTTTCTGCAGTTTTAGTTTAAATTCCTAAGATAAAATCATTTGAATGTTATTCATTTTAGAACAGTTTATATTGGTCATTTCATTAACATAAGTATTTCTATCATTTTCTAATCACCATATTTCTACGTCAATCTAAATAGACATTAAAGCAAATATGTATATAGTATTATTGAAGTATGTTTCTCCTCTTTCCTACTTCTTTTTTATGAAACAGTTGTTCATTCAAATGAAATTTAATTGTGATAATAGGTTATATGTGATTTTATTTCATATAAAAATATTTCATCAAAATGGGGATTTGTAGAGATTGTATTAAGTTTAATAGTTTAATTCATGAGTCGATCTGAGCTAGACAACTAAAGTAAACCTGGAAGTGTTGGATGGTTGTTTCATCCTCAAGTGGGACTCTTCTGCAGTATGCATCCACAATCCCGCATGCAGGACTCGAACACAGAACCTTCAGTCTTGTGCATGAACACTTAACCTCTAGACCACTGAGCTAGCATCCAACGGTGTTAAAGTTAAACATTACCAGTGGGTTCGAGTTCCGCTTGTGGCATCGTAGATGTGCACTGCTGAGGGGTCCTATAATAGGACAAAACAGCTATCCAATGCTTTCAGTGGTCGTCTAGCTTAGGTCGTTTTATAACCATAATTTAGTTTTTTATTCTGTGTATTCATAATTTCTTTGTTAAACATACAATTGTGAACATTTCATTTATTTCATTATTATATAATGTCTAATTCCCGCGAAACACCTAAATCACTTTGAAATTTGAAGACAGCACATAACGTCTACTACATTGTTTTTTATACGCTGAAAATACTATCAAGTTACTTTCACAACCTAGCAGACGTAAAAAATAGGATCTTCAATTGTTACTGTCAGAGTTGTTTTAACTTAATTATGTAAACTGTAACTGATATTTTTGTGACAGATTTTATTCTGATACTACCTTTATTTATTGTGCATCCACTTGAATACAAACAGAGTCCATGTACTGTTCACACCACACTTCGAAATACATTAGTTCGATTAAAAGAAAAAACTCCCATCCATGTCTACACAGAACTGAGTCTACAAATTAGGCTGTGTCGATTGCAATGCCCTCTATATTGGAGAGTCATCTTGTGAAACCTGATAATCCTGTAGAACTGGATAGACTTCAAAGTTCACGCAGTTTTCAACAATCATCAAATTAACGACAAAAATAACAAAATACTACAAGAAGGCTTTTTCCAATCACAAAGAAAGGAGAGTAGCGGAAGCTTTCCATATAATGCTTAATCCCACTGCCCTCAATAGAAAAGAAGGCCTTACCATACATCCCACTTGGACTATCTATCCTAGTCAACCAGTCTAATATTATTTACAATTCACACCATTACATTACAAATTAAACTCTAGTTACCTCGGATATTAAACTCTATCCTCTATTGTCATTATAAAGGTCACACATTTTTCATCATTAGCAGTGCACACATACAGACAATTTGCATACATGCCGCTTATGATTCAACTTGACCGAAATGACATGACATTGATTAATTCAGATCTGTTTTATGAATGAGCGCACCTAATATCCGTGTTGTTCCGTTGTACTATTTAAACTTGGATTAATGTTAATGTTAATTTGGTTATTTATTCTCTGAAAAAGTGGCTTACACTGAGTCACGAAACGTCAGAAAGTCTAATTTTTCTACTCATTGGGATATTACAAATATATTGTTTATTTATAACTATGTGGTTGTTTACAATGATCTAATGCTATGTAATTAATTATTTGGTCAGTTTGTAATTCTAGTAACTTAAGTTAAGAAGTTTGCATGCAACAACTAAGTTATTAGTAGAACTATCACAGTTTGTTATACCCAATATTATTACTAAAACGTTTTTAAAATTTTGTCAGAATAAACGATGTTAACTTTAACAAACTAACATTTTTATTTTCATAGTTGAAATCATGAGTCAATTGAAGCTAGACCACCATCGAAAACCTGGAAGCACTAGACGGCCGTTTCGTCCTATTATGGGACTCCTTGGCAGTGCGCATCCACGATCCTGCCTAGCGAGATTTAAACCCAGGACCTAACAGTGCTCTGGAGCGGTCTAGTTTCAATTGACTCATGATTTCAACTTTGAAATATACTGAAATCTCCACAAAACCCCTTCTGATTATAACATTTTTATGTAAAATTTCTCAGTTCGGCAGTTTGTTTAGGTTTTAAGCACATCGTAACAAGTTGACTTGTGAAATTTCAACCTAAACTCTTGGGATTTTGATAACAAGATAATATCGCTCAACCATAAAAGATGGTATTTACAGCTATACATAAAATACGCAATATAGAAGCTCATATGACTTTGTTCTTCACATAATCAATGACGTAAATATGTGTTTATAACAACAAAATTGAAAACAATCTATATTCATATGTTTTGATAAGAGATTAAATAATTTTAATACCTCAGAAAAGTTTTTATTCAGAATAATTCAACTATTTTTAAAACATGTTTTACAGTTATAAGCATTATATTATCGGAGACCAATTGTTTCACTATTCCTCAAATTTTTCATTGTATTCATTATTAACAAACGATTAAGTCAGAAGACAAGGGATAAATGTATTGTGAGCTAAGGTTGTAGAAAAAATTTCATACTGTTATGTATAGAGAGTGTTGTGTGATACGTAGTTGAAATACAATTAGAGATGAATCTTCATAAGAAAATCTACACCTGATTTGCACCTTCTAAGTGCAAATAATTTTTAAAAGACTAATAGACCTCTGAACTTACACACGCCCTGTGTGGGGAGCAGAGAGAAATCGAGTTCGTGTAACTGGGTAGGTGCGTAAGTGTTGGTGGTAACGTGAGTGATGACATCAATTCACATATAGTGAAAGCCAGGGAGGCTTATGCCAATCTGGGTCATGTTTGGTGCCATTGTGATGTTAGCCTGGCCGTAAAAGATCGGAACTACAATGTGTCGGTGGGAGAGGTTTTGTTCTATGCTTATGAAACCTAACCTTTCCAAACCGAGGATGTTAGACAACTCTGCGTGTTTGATTATCGTTGTCTTCAAAGGATTGCTGAGATCCAATGGCTACACCATGTTAGTAATGCGGGGGGTCAACATTGTGTGTTGGAGTGCAGCGACGATAATTCACGTAGTGTCACTAACTTGAAACATTGACTTCGGTGGCTTAGACATATACTATGAATGTCGTCCCAGAGAATTCCACGGCG